ATTACCACATCAGCTGGGTCCCAGACACACGCTTTGTTGCAATCTCCCCCATTTATTTTACATCATTAATACTTCTTTAAACTATCATCCCCTGTCCTCTACCCCATTTTCTCCCATGTCTTCCTTGCCCTGCCTCTCCCTCTCTGTTAGCCCTTAAAATCCTCTCCCTCTCAACATGCTCCCGTTCTGATGAAGTGTTGTGGACCCGAAACATTGACTCACTTCGTTTCTCCATAGATGCTGCCTGACCTGCTGAGTGTTCCCAGTGACTTCTGTTTTTTGTTTTCAGACAGCTTGACTTATTGGTAGGATATGAAGGGGTAGACTGTGCCTGAGGCAGGGATTCTTACCCCTGTTACTCCTGTTAACCTTAGAAGCCAAAGTCCTAGCCGATAGGGAGAGAGTGATCCTAACTGGACACACAATGGGAAAGTTTGCCAGACAGAACTCTCATGGCATGCTATGGTTAGCTGGTTAAACTCCAGGAGTACCCCAACACATACTCAGGGTCCCCAAGCCTTGACTCTCACCAACCTGTGCCAAATATGAATTAGGTAAAAAGAATGAATCTCTCAAGAATGCATATTTTATTCCAGACACCGGGAAATTTCCACGTGGAGGTGCTATGCATATGTGGGATTCTGTGTGTTTTGGATATGCTTAAGCATGGTGATGGGTTTCCGCATGTAGCAGATACTGGCTGACCAAAAAAAAATTGTATTCAAAGAATGAACAACCTGTAAAGAATTAAGAAACTTGCTGTTATGATAAATTATCTGACATTATTTCCTTTAATGCTGCATCCCTTGTTCTTTCAATTAAACTACCACAATAACTTAACATTTATATAGTGCTCTTCACACTGGGTAGCGTCCTGGAGCGCTTGCTATAAAAACTATTTTTCATAGTACCCTCATTTATTTTCCTCTTGCTAACCAGGCAGACCATAGATACTTAGCTTCCAACTGCACATTGCAGCTTTTCTCGCAGTTGTATAAATGCAGCATTGAATTTCGTACTATATTCCTCAGAGCCCCTGTACCTTTTAAATTGCTTTTCAAGCCTTCAAACCTTGTCAAAAAAAACACAGCTCTTCATTGTATCTCTGATCTGCCTGACTGTAAGATTTTGTCTTTAAGAATTGACTGTTCATTCAGTGTCGCTTATTAACTGTTGCATGAAAACTGACCTTGTGTTCTCAAACCAGTAACAGAATGATTTTTGTGTGTGTTTGACGTAGTTCTTTTCCTTTACACTTTTGTTCCCCTTTTTCGTGTAGAATTCAAATTTTACGCATGCTTTTTGATGAAAATAAGCCATATATTTTGGTTGTACTCTGTGGCATTATCTCCATGGGCTAAATTTTTTCCAGCTGGTTTCTGTAAAATGCGTGAATAACAAAATGCTAATCAAGTTTTCTGTCTTACTTTCCACTAAATAAATGGTTCTTATGTGTGAGCATATAATCTCGTATTTCCTGGTATATCATTTAGGATTGACGTGTGCAGCTAAACTCTTAAAAGTCTTGATTATTCCTCAAAACTCCTATCCTTTTTCGCTGTTGATTGAGCTCCCATCATTGAAAGTTTATACCTTTTGCTTCAATTGTATTGCCAAGCAGTTTGGTTCATTGATGGATCCAGTTATGGATGCAGACAGTTGTGTGTGGTAAGAGACAACTCAATTCTGAATGTTCCTTATATGCTGTAAAACTGAAAAGTATTCAATATCAAGTGTGGTGCAGAATATGGGCTTGAAATAGTATAAACTGATTGAAGGAGCTTGTAATTTCAGCGCAGGTATTTTATGCCATGTTAACACTGCATGTGTTGTATCAATTCAGCATGATGATTAGACAAGATAGGGCTCTTCAGTCTTGAGAGAAGATAACTCAGACGGGACTTCATAGAAGTGTATAACATTTTAAATGGGATTGAAAAAGTAAACCCAGATCAATATTTTCGATGCATCAAAAAAGCGGAACAAGAAGACATAGGTTTAGAGTTGTATAGGACAACCTCAGGACAAAGACCAGGAAGTATTTCTTTCTGCATAGGGTAATTAATGAACAGGTTACCCGAAAGTAACTCACTTAAAACACAGCTTGATGTTGTATTGGGAGGAGGGGGCTGGGGGAGCGTTAGGTGGTAGGTTGGGTATTCCAGACAGATGAGATCAGATGGGCTGAAAGGCCTTTTTCGTCCAAACCAATCGTGTCACAATAGCACAGAATCTACATGAAAAAACAGATATTTTGTCAGGGATTCTTTATGTACAGGTGCAGCACAAGTGCAGACAGTGAATCTATTCAACATCAACTTATAAACAATAATAATTAATCCTTGCGTTTGATATAGTGCCTTATCACATCATTGAAACGTCTCAAAGTGCTTCATAGAATATACTGTAAAGTGAATTGGCTGTATATTTTGTGGGCGAATGCACATAGGCCACTAAAATCTCTTGGGACAGTACTTTACCGACTAGTAATGTTTTAACGGATCTAATAAAAGACTGGCACACTTCCAACACTTCAAAAACTTTAGCAAAGGAACCGTCTTTTCGCTTATTGTTGCATGTGCAGAGTGCTGCACAGTCCAGGCGAATGAGATTTTGAAGTGGGAATACAAATCTTAATTTCAGCTCATAGTGATATACTTTTGGAAGCAGTTTTCAATTCATTTCCAGCAGTCCAACATGGCATTAAATGACAATTCTCTAGCTATTTCTCCATATATTTTTCGTCAGTTGAGTATCTGACACTTGCGGAAACCCATCACCATGCTTAAGATCATCCAAACTAGACTGAGAGTTTCACATGCATTTGCATACGTTCAAATACACATGGAAATTTCCCTGAATCTGGAAAGGAATGCGCACTCAGTCCCTGGAGGGACACAGCCTGCTTACTGAATTCCAGGGAGTGTTAAACACAGGTTGGCAAGAGACGAGGCTTGGGGACCCAGAGTGTGCGTTGAGGTATTTATGGAGTCTAAACAGCTATAATTGTGCCATTATCCTGGCCAATCATCCCTAAGATAAAATGGGTCACTGACTTTGTGGCTGTTTGTGGGAAATTGTTGTGCGCAAACTGGCTGCTGCCTTTGCCTGCAAATCCACAGTCACCATTTTCTGCAGTAAATCCTGTGAAGTCCTTTTTGAGATATTTTGGCACTGTAATTAGGTACTATAATCAAATGTAAGCATTATGATTATATAACAATAGTGAAGGAAATGCTGCTTTATGGTCCTATCAAGGTATTTGTTGATCAGCTAATTTTGTGTTTGTTTATGAATTTGGGAGTCAACTTTTCGTACTATGCCTATAACTTACTTGTGAAAATACGAGCAGTATGTAGCATTAAAGGTACATTTCATTCAGGAAGGAGTTCTTTCCCAATTTTCAAGGTAGACACCCATATGTGCCAGGATTGAGGCAGCTGGGTGGATATTGTGTGAAATATTAATGCATTACTCATACCAGCTGCTATCCAAACAACCTAAAAGGTAACTCTAACACTTGTCTAGAAAATATATCACATCCATAGAGAGAATACAGTGAAGGTTCATTTAGGTTATAGGAATGAGATTATAGTTAAATGGATAGACTCGAAAAGTTAGTGCTTTGTTTTCTGGAGCAGAGATGGTTAAAAGACTATCTAATAGAGTTTTTCAAATTTATGAGACTCTCACAAGCTCTCCTCAGCCCCCCTCCCCTGACTCACCACCTTGGGCTGTCAGGAAACACCTCAAAATGCTTCACAATACTGACTGATATGAAAGTCACTATATGAATGTAAATTATTGTTGTTGTTAAATAGCGGAGTGGGCGGTGTATAATTTGAATTTTTTTGGTTTAAACATCCTGGTGCTCACTCAACCCGGCTATCAGTGTTTGATTTGACCTTTGCATATTTGTCCTTTGGCCAGCTGTGTGTTATGAAATCAACCTCGCCAGTGGATTAAATTGAGCATTACATACTGCTTCAGAAACAGATGCGATAGCTCAGTTGGCAGAGCACCAGGAAGTTTAAACCAGAAAATTCAAATCATACGAAGTCCAACTCAACTCTTCACCCTTTCTGATGGACCAGAACCCTGGCTTTGCAGGCTATAAAATCATTATGCTTTGCTCTTATAATGTTTCTCATGTCTTTGAGTTTTCTATTAGCTTCACGGTCCAATCCTACATCAGATGGCTGGTTTCTTTCTCCTGGGCAAAAAATCAAGACAAATGTTAGGTGAATTTTTATGTGTATTTTGTAACACAATTGTTTCACAATTCCTTAAAGGACTCGGTATGTTACCAGGGAAAATAATAAAATAATAACTTTGTTGGCCAGGAAACCCCTCCATTCTATCCATATAGTGCCATAGGATTTTTACTGTGACTGAATTTAATTGAATTACATTTAACTTGTGCTGGTGTTTCACAGTTGCACTGCTTGGGAAAACTTGCAAACCAAGTATCGACATGCGCAGAATTTCTGTCCGAACTCTGTGCTGATTTCAATTCTACATCAGAGCCTCGATACGGATAAGTGAACTTACAGATTGTCTATGGGGTTGTGTAGTGATTTACTGTACTGTTACAAGGTTTGATCTTTGAATTCCCTCTTCTGATCCTGCATGTCCTCAAAACATTTCCCCATGGAACCTATGTGTGTGTACATGATGACATTCAAGCGCTTTTCAGTCTATGGAAGCTCATTGGAGGTCTATTTTAAACTGAAATGGCCAAAATTGGAGCTTGCGATGTTTTGCACCCTAGGGATTTTATTGCTCATTATTCATATAGACAATGGTCCAGTTGTTGACTGGCTTCAGGGGTGTCCACAGACAATTACATTAGGTGGTTTGGCTGCACAGCTAATTCAGCATCATTTTCACAGTGTTTGTTGCTTGATTCATTGTATGGTTTCTTCCCTGTGAAGAGTAGAACAGCACACGTTGTCAATACAATGGGGTTTATTGTTTTTCTTTCTATTATCTTACATAAGGGCATCCCAGATGGACTTGAAGACTGCCCTGGAGGAATCCACAATTGCACTGAACTTATTCATGAATAACAAATTCTCTGAAGCACTGGAGTTGCTACGACCTTGGTAAGCATTTGAATCTGCAGAAAAAACATTTCAGTTTTGCAGCCCAGAATTTCCATAAGACTGCCCACAACATGGTTCATGCAGCATTTGGAGTGCCTTCCCATCTCCCATTGCTGCACATTGCTGCCTGCAAGAATGCTTTGAATATTACACAAAAGACTAAAGGGTTAATAATTGCCACATAGAAGACATTTGTGTATATACCTGACAAAAGAAAAATGCAGATGTTCACTAGCTTATGTGCAAGTCCAACTGTGCCTGAGAACTTGCTTATTCCTGTTTAAAGATCAACCAATCTTTTGAAATAAGTCTGGTGATTACTTTACTGTGTAAAATCACCTCATGCAGATCTGAAGTTACAATGAAGTGAGCTGAACTGGTCTGAGCTAATTCTGACTATGTTTCAACTATGTGATAAAGGTGTTGACTTTGGCATCCACACCACTCTCCTATCACACTATATTATTTTGGAGCTCTCTTGTGCTCTCAATAAACCCAAGAATAGCTAATGACCCAAATCATCCTAATGTATGTAACAACCGTTTTTGGCTCAGAGTCAAATGCCTTGCAGATTAGGAAGATCCTAAATTCAATCCAAGGCTGCACTCTCCACCTCTCAAAGCCAGTCAGGAATCTCGGGGTTCTGTTCGACCCTGAGCTGTCCTTTCTCCCTCATATCCGCGCCACAACTGGCACCGCCTTCCATCACCTCCGGAATGTGCCAGACTACGGCACTACCTCACCCCTCACGCTGCTGAAACTCTGGTCCACGCCTTTATCACCTCAAGGCTGGACTATGGGAACTCTCTCCTCGTCGGCCTTCCCAGCACCTCCCTCCACACTGCAGGTCATTCAGAACTCTGCAGCTTGTGTACTGTCCCGCACCAGGCTTCGCGACCACATCACTCCCACCCTCGCTCGCCTCCACTGGCTCCCCATCCCCCAGAGGATCAATTCAAGATCCTCACCCTCACCTACAAGGCCATTCACGGCCTCGCTCCCTCCTACCTCTCCGACCTACTATCCCCCTACTTACCTGCCCGTACCCTCCGTTCCTCTGGCTCCGGTCTGCTCCACATCCCCCGCCCCAACCGCCCTACCATCGGTGTCCGGGCCTTCAGCCTCTCAGCCCCGAGGCTCTGGAACTCCATCCCCCAGTGCCTTCGCCGCTTCCTCCCTTTCCTCCTTCAAGGCCGGTCTCAAGACCTTTCTCTTTGATCGTGCCTTCAGCTCCCCTCTCGACTCTCTACCCCCTCCTCGCTCCCTCCCTTCCCTCCCCTCACCCTGACCATTTCGCCCCTGCTCGGGTCCTGACCCAACTGTACAGCGCCTTGGGACGTCCTCCCGATGTGAAAGGTGCTCAATAAATGGAATCTTGTTGTTGTTGTTGTTGTTGTACTGTTTGTGCTGATTTAGTTGATCTCCACCTGGCCAGAAGTAAGGGCCATGCATGAGGGCTCAACTAGGGGGGAAGATTATTGTGTTTACTTCACTTAAATGACTGGCCATTTACTTTACAGGTCCAAAACCAGCATGTACCATGCCCTGGGTTACAGCACTATGCATGCTATGCAGGCTGCCATGACCTTTGAGCAGCAAGATATTCTATCAGCCATCGCCACTATGAAAGAAGCTTTGCATACCTGTCAACGGTGAGTCTTCAGGTTGTATATAAATATACGTTTGTTCAATCAGTATTTGCTTTTGGAAAAACAATACGTATGGTTTCCCTATCTGCTGTGCTGTGGTACTGAACTAATATTTATTGTGATCTGAAATTCTTTTCCAATGTGCTTATTGCTGGAACTTTCATATTTGGCCAAAAGCAACAAGAAAAATGGTGCAAGAAGCAGGAATCATGAATCATACAACTATAGAAATTTACAGCACAGACCACTTGCCCATTATGTCTTTTAATAGCAATCCTTTCAGTCCCATTTACTTGCCCTTTCTCCATACCCTTGTAGTTTATTGATTTTGAGGTATAGAGCTAGTTCCCTGAAGGGTACAATAGAACCATGGAAATGTATAGCACGGAGGGAAGCCATTCGGCTGATTGTGCTTGTGTTGTAAACTACAAAACACATAGTCACTCAATTATATGTTAGGACTTCCTCCTAACATGAAAGATGCCTTATAAGAACGTAAGAAATAGGAGCAGGAGTAGGCCATTTGACCCATCGAGTCTGCCCTGCCATTTAATAAGATCATGGCTGATCTTCTAACCTAATTCCATTTACCTGCCCTATCCCCATATCACTTACTCCCTTTAGTTTTTAAAAATCTATCGATCTCATTCTTGAATATGTTCAATGACTGAGCATTCACAGCTTTTTGGGGTAGAGAATTCCATAAATTCACTACCCTCTGAGTGAAGAAATCTTTTCTCAACGCAGTTCTAAAGGGCTGACCTTTAATCCTGAGATTACGACCCCTAATTTTAGACCCCTAGTGACCCATAGTTTTACGAAATGTAAGTATTATTATAAATCAAAAGACTTCTTCAAAAAGCTTGCTTCCCCCTTTCAAAACGAATGCACCTATTGATCATTTAGTTTCCAGTCAATGGGAATCTGCAATCAACAACAACAACAAATTACATTTCTATAGCGCCTTTCACGTCAGGAGGACGTCCCAAGGTGCTGGACAAAGTCAAATAGACACTACACTGCAGTTTGAGGGCCTCCAGTATAAACAATTATTCTTAACTTAAATCATTGGTGATTGAGTATATTATGAATAGTGCCGACCCACTATAATTCATTTCAATAAAGCATGATTTCAGTTGTAATGGGGTTGAACTCTTGACCCTGCTCAGTGCACGTGCACAGCTGATCTGCTTGTTTCTCATGCACCGCTGGCTTTTTGTGCTGAAATAGCTGACTTTCTGTTCATTCGGTGGATATCATTCCCTGCTTTGTGCATACACACAAAACAGGAAGTGACGTTGATGTGACCCACCTACCTGGGAGGCAGCCATTTTTTTTCATTTGTGCAGGATATAAAACAGAGTTGAAGGAAGGTTGCACTGAGTTGAACAGTTTGGGCATTTAACTTTGAAAGGACATTGAACAGCAGGGAGGGGTTGGAAAGTAGAACACCAATGGTGATTCCAGTGAAAATTACAAATAAAAACATGAGAAAGAGAAAATAGAGCAAAAGAAGGGACAGCCCAAGGAGCTCAGCTGAAGTATAGTAGAAGCCCCTGATAAGGTGGCTGCCCTGCAAATCCAAGTTGGTTTCAGTGCATGAACCAATCGGATTCAGGATTGTCAGGTTGCCACCGATGCCACTTCGTGCATGCTGAACATGTACGTTATGTACAGGAAGTACTCACAGGAAGTGATATTGGTGGCAACTTAATGACCTGGAGGGCAACCATTTTTCAGTGTGGGAACCTGGCTCACATGTACAGGGAGCAGGCAGCGAGTGATGTTGGCAGCCAATTTTTCAAGAAATTGCACGTTGCTTGGGACCTCATTCAGCACATAGTAAGTGGTGTCATGGTGGCCATTTTGGCTTCATGCTATCTTGCAATGCGATGCTTACGTTTATGGCTTGAAACTAGCATTATAATGAGGTTCTTCTGTTTTTAGATGTGGGAGTACTGGGTGTTTAAATGAACACTCCATGACTCCACTGTTAAGCCAGGCGCTGACCTGAAACCAAATCTGAAGCCACTGGGCATGCATTTTACACTCTTCATCTCACACTGACTGCATAATTTATTTAATTGAAGAAAGTGCTGTGCACTGTTTTAGTTGACCTGTTTTGCAAGCTTGAAGCTGGTGAAATTGGCATTAAATGGACATGTGACAGCCCTCATTAGTTGAGGGACCTTGTGTATTGTTTCATTAATTTACAAAGTGCAAGATATTTACACAAACCTCAATTTGAGGGATCTCATTAGCACTGTGGTGAAATTAGGCTTTGAACCAGTAGGTTATTGAGCAGCAATAATAGCTGCCTGGAAGCAATTACTTTAGGTCTTTACTGGAGACCTAAAGTAAAGTTATTACTTTAGGTCTCCAGTAATAACTAAAGAGGCTCTTTCTCGAACCTTGCCTTGCTTGATATCGAGTCCAAAATAAGATGTGTTTACATTGACAAAGTCTCTCTCAGATAAGTATTAAATTGTTCAATTGGAGAGACAAAGAGACATAGTTAATGTACACTTTATCAGGGGAGAATGTAGCCAGGAAGATGTAATTCCATGAGCCTCTTGGGAGAAACAAAATTGAAATTTGATGGAAAATATCCACTCTTGTGAGAAGTAGAAGTGCAAAAAGTGGCTTCTCCCCCAAATCAGTGGTAACTACAGGCAGATCACCATAAAACAAATCGGGGGTAAGTATGAAGTGATGTTGCTCCCAGAGCAGATTGAGAGGCAAGAGAAACTCCAACAAAATTTTCTGTTGGGAGAAAGAAAACAAGTCAGCCAACATGTATTTTAGCACAGCACCTTTTCACTCGGAAACTGATTTGCTTAGTGTCTGATCTCAGTGCAACTGTGCTTTGTTAGCATGAGGGTGTTGTGTACATTGGACATTGTGTACACTGGAAGTTGTATACACAATTATTGTGTGCCATAAGTGTGACTGGATGATCACAGGGAGAGAAATTCATTGTGTGCAAAGCAAATAAATAACCTCTGTGTGTGGCTGCTGCTTTGGGCTCCGTCTGTTATTTCAGCTTTGTTGTAACCAAGCCCTGCTCTATAATGTATGCTAACCAGAGGGTGGGTACCTTACAGAGCATTCAGAGTGTTTTTAAAAATAAAACCAACTTTGCTTATCCACTCTTGCTTACTGCAGTTGGATTTTTTTTTAAGAAGCTTATCTTAAACTATCTCAATCCAACAATATTTTTCTGTAACTCAGTTTGAAAAGCATTTGCTAGTAATTTTATGACAATGTTCTTATTGCATTGTTTTCATCAGAACAATGGACATAAATAATTCTTGGACAATGTTGGACTGAGTTGGTTACACCAGTGTTGGTGGTGTATCAATATCCCAAATCTCACATTTCTTCCCATTTGTAACAGTAAATGATTATCATCCTTGCATTTGATGTAGTGCCTTTCACAGTGTGGTTGTTTCCCTAGTTACTATATAAAACACGTTAGATCAGTGGCGTAGTTAGGGATGGAAGTTTGGGCAGGCACCAACATATGGTGGATATTCAATGTCCCAGGGTTTCCATTCCTGGCTATGCCACTGGTTCTTCCCAAGTTGGTAGTCAGTTTTTCACCGCAGACCACAAAACACCTCCTTTATGGCATGTCTGAGTATAATTAAATGCAAAATACTGCAGATGCTGGAAATCTGAAACAAAAACAGAAGTCGCTGGGAACTCTGAGCAGGTCAGGCAGCATCTACGGAGAAAGGAAAGTGAGTCAATGTTTCGGGTCCACGACCCTTCGTCAGAACAGGTCAACAAACTCTGAAACGTAGACTCACTTTCCATTCCATAGATGCTGCCTGACCTGCTGAGTGTTCCCAGAGACTTCTGAGTACAATTAAGTCAGACATAAGTCAAGTGATTTGAAATAATAGAAAAGAATAGGAACAAGGGATTTCTCACTTGGGTATCTTGGGTTGAAGAGCCCTGAATTAAGTTTCATTTCCAAGGTTCATGTTGTATTCCTTATCCAAGCTTTTTCTCTAATCACATTGTAAAATCAACTGAGCTCCAAGTTCAGTGATAATAACCTGCAGCTAAAGTTACGTTTTGCCCTATCTGATACATCTCTTCAAAAAGTTTGATACCTCCTGCTCCAGCTCTCTACTTGTCATTCTCTGCGCTGCCTCAAACCTTCTGCTCTGGCGGGAAGAGAGCCGGAGCCACACCCAAGCACGAAGACTGATGTTCGATGTACAGTAAAAGTACGTGGCTAGCAACACCACAATCGTCGTGCAGGAAAGCTGTGGGGGACTTCCAACAATGTTCACAAAGGCCAGCGAGCTGATGTGCGACAGGAAGAGAGCAGGAACTTCCCGGGAGTTATGAGACAGCATGGAGAGTAATGGGTGGGTCTGGGTATTAATCAAAAGGCATCAGTGTATTTAAGAGAATATTTGATGCATACATCAGGGAGAAGGAAATAGAGGGAAAAGGTAGGTTGGGGCTCATATGGGATATTAAACAAAGTCATGGACTAGTTGGGCTGAATGGCTTGTTTGCATGAAGTTTCACTGTATAATTCTATGTAGCACATTTTACCCAATTCTCCCTCCCCCTCTATTCATTGAGCTCCTTTGTTGTAAAACAGATTCATTGATGCACTAAATGTCTTAATTTATTCTGTTTTTAACCAGGTATCGAAAGAAGAATTCTGTTGTGGAATCTTTATCATCTTTAGTATCAAAGCAGGGAACCGACCAGTTGACAGAAGGTACAATAAATGTGCTATTATGAAATAAAACTACTTGGCACAGGGCACAATGAAGCCTTCAATTGTATTCTTGTGTCTTGTTCTGCGATCTGATTCTTGCCCACTGCAGTAAGTGGACATCAAGCATATTCTGTGTAATATTGCAATCCTTATCAACTCATTTGTTTCGATCTCAAGCAGTGGTAATCTTAGACCAGTTTGCTTGATTGTTTGCAGTATTATTTCAACACTGGGAGATAGTCTCCTGTTGTTGGTAAGTGTGGCGATATAAATGCAAGATGTAGCTATTGGCTGTTTGACATAGGGCACTTCAGTGTGACAGTGCCTGTGATATCACCAGTAGCATGTACATCCTTGTTCAAGGCGCCTCCATACCCCATCACCCCGTATCACTGTGGATGGAGATGTATCTTTTGGAATTTGCACGCGTCCCCCTGTGCCATTATTTTAATTGTCAACCCTCCTGTATACCTTTTTCCTTTATTAGAGGAGATGCATGCAGAGATGTGCTACGCAGAATGCCTGCTTCAGAAGGCAGCACTGATGTTAGTGCAGGTAAGAAACACTTGGTACCTTTAACTCAGCATGGATGTCTTGGTAAAATGAATGAAGTGAAACGATTGGCAGCATGGCATTGAGGACTGATTTACTCACTAAATTTACATGGATGTTGGCCATGAGGTTATTGAGATTGCAGTACTAGGTTTGGGAGAGGCAATGATTGGTAGAATATCTCTTTAGAAATTAGTTGGATGCAACTCATTATAATACTTAATGAGTTGATCATAATAATCCTTGCAGCCAATATAGCCTATGCAGTTAAAACATCTCAAAACAATTCACATAATTACTGTTAAGGGTAGTGACATTATTTATAGGCAGATGCAACAGCCACACTTGTGCATAGCAGCACCTCATGAAAACCATGAAGTGAATGACTTACTTATATGGAGGATTGTTGGCCAGAGAAACTCTTTTCTCTTTATTGAGTAGCTAACGTCCATCTAAAGAGGCAGATGAGACCTCAGTTAAATGTCTCATCTGAAGGACCACACTTTTGACCATGCAAAGCTCCCCTGTAACTGGATTGGAGTGTCTGCCCAGATTGTGAGCACAAGCACCAAGGTGGAACTTGGATCTTCTGACCTAGAAATGAGAGCGCTATCAACAAACCAGGGTTAATTGTTAAACACATTATTTGATGATTGTCAGTAGACTTGTACCTTGTTCTGTTCAGCACATGTATTCTTCTTGTGCTTGAACGTACTGTGTGTGTGTGTGCTTGTGGGAGTGGGGGCGAAGGCGGGCGAACACAGCAGCCAATTTGTGCACAATAATGTCTCACAAAGAGCCATGAAACAAATGAACGGTTTAAATTGGAGAAATATTAACCAGGACACCAGGAGGAACTCCCTTCTCTTTCTAAATAGTGCAGTGGCGCCTTCAACTTCCACCCAAACATGCAGACAAGACCTTGGTTTAACATTACATCTGAAGGACAACACATCTAACAATGCAGCACACCTCCTTGGAGTGTTAACTTAGATTGTATAAATTCGAGTCCTGACGTGGGGATTGAACCGACAACCTTCTAACTCAGAGGCAAGAGTGGTACCAACTGAACCAGGCTGACACACTGTATTCATAATTCCTGCATAAAATTACAGTTGAAAACATGACAAGTTAGAATCTGGAATTACAAATTTCAGAAAATGCACTTCATGAACTTGGTGATCTTATCCATTTGTTTAAAGGTCCACACTACAAATGAATAACCTTCTGGGTTGGGGAAATAAGTAATACGTTTAGGAGCCCCATAAATACTGGGGTATATTATGTGGTGATAGCTAAGATTAGTACCTCTCTCCGAAAGCCACTGAAATCCTAGTCCATGCCTTTGTCACCTCTCGGCTGGACTACTCTAACGCCTTCCTCGCCAGTCTCCCATCCACCACCATCCATAAAATCCAAATCATCCAAAATTATGCCGCCCACATTCTAACCCACACCAAACTACGTTCCCCGATCACCCCAGTCCTTGCCAGACTGCACTGGCTGCCTATCCCAGAGAGGATCGATTTCAAGATCCTCACTCTCATATTCAAATCCCTCCACTTCTCTGCAACCCCCTACCTGTCTGACCTCCTCTCTCCTCAAAACAGTACCTGTTGCCTTCAATCTTCCAGGTTTGGCCTCCTCCTCATCCCCTGAGTCCTCCGCTTCATCCTCAGCGGCCGTGCCTTCAGCCACTATGCCCTGAAGCTCTGGAACTCCCTTCCTCACTCCCTTCGCCTCGTCCCCTCTCTTCCTACTTTCAGGTCCCTTCTGAAGACCTTTCTTTTCGACTGCACCTTTGGTCACCTTCCTCACCCTCCCCCTTCCCCTGACTCAGTCCCGGAATCCGTTACTGTGAAGCGCTCTGAGACGCCGTCCGGCGTGGAGTGTGCTATATAAATCCAAGTTGTTGTTGTTGCAGTAATCTGTTTTGATGCGAGTGTTTATAAATGATATTTCTCTTAATAATTGGGTAATAAAAAGATTATTGGAGTTAATAACCTTGATTGAGTCCACCAGACTGAACTTGAGGAATGGAACATAGCAAGAGTTATCTTGTTCATAAAAATAGTGAGGCTTGCATGTGTGTAGTAATTCTAGACCACTTAGCTGCCAATGTTTTATAAGTGCATGTGCACCAGTATTTCATAATATTGTAGACACGTTTGTATTAACCCTTATTTAGACTTAACTTCACAGCCCTATACAGATGGACAGTTTCCAAATGAGTCACAATTTTTTGTTTGGGGGGCTAACCGCCATTTGTAAATTATTTAAGATGAATTTCACAGGGTCCTCTGATGGCTGGAAAGGAATCTGAGGTTGGATCCCTCATCTGTGCTGAGTTATCTGATTTCAGCTGAAATAACGGTCACAGTAGCGATGCTATAGTGCCTTCATGCCCCTTGGTTAGGAAAGGTTTGCTCTCTCTATTCCTCATTGTTATCTGATCTCAGCTGGAATGATGGTCACGATAGCAATGCTACTGTGCTCTAATGCCCTTCAGTTAGGAAAGTTAAGCCTGCCTCCTCCGTTGTTATCCAGCAACCCCTGCTGAGAAAGGAAAGGATTGAACTTCACATCCTTCTTTCCTCCTATCCTCTCCCCACCACCTCAGGTTTGATATCCTGCTGCTACTCATTGCCAAGGCTCACAATAAGTAATGGTGAAATACCAGAGGGCGCCTGTGCTGTAACATTTAATGATTCAATTAAACACTGCAACTGTTGTGCTGTGGGTTTTTGTGCCTCATTTGGTTTCACAGTATATTTTCCATTAAGTGGTCAATAATTTATTCAGTGGTTCTGCACTGTGACCAAATCCTACAGTTACCTGTGCAAACAAAATCATAGGGGAGTTCTCTGTAACACCTAGTATTACATTGTCTTATAAATCAGGTTGTTAATGGACCCCAACATTTTGTGACGTCAAAGCATGAAAATCCAGAGAATAAAGCCTGTGGGTAAGGTAGTGTATTGTGAGACGAGGATGAGCAGTGTAGCTCATCACATGAGAGCTGCCGGTATGTATGCCCAGTGATGTCACCGGTGCTGTTGGCAACCTGGGAATGCTGAGGGTCCAACGTGGGATGGAATTTTCTGGATTGCAACAACTGTGTTAAAGCAGGTTCCGCCTGTACTTAATTTTTTAAAAAAAATTATCGGTGTACAATAATATTAATCCTTCGATTTGATATAATGGCTTTCATGTCGGGAGGATGTCCCAAAGTTTTTCACAGGATAATACTATCTACATCAAATGGAAGGATTATTATAATTTTTGTGAGAAAGGGAATGCCTAACATTGAGTTGCCAAGCAGACTTCCGATCATTTCGCTCCTCATTTAATTGATAATTGGAGAGCAATGATTTTATTCTGCGCATCGGTGGTTCAGTGGTAGCATTCTCATCTACTTCACCGGAAGTCTGGGTTCAATTCCCATCTGAAGCAAAGTACTTAGATCCATGTGGAGTATAAACACCGGTTAACACCGGTACAGACTAATTGGGCCAAATGGCCTGTTTCCATGCTGTACAATCTATATATAAACCTCTATTTGCAACAACATCAACAACAAAATTACATTTAAAGAGTGCCTTTCACGTCAGGAGGACGCCCCAAGGCACTTAAGTGATAGAGACCAGTGTGAACTTTTAATTAAGCTTACTTTTATATTGCCATAAATTCGAATGTGATGCCAAAGATTGTGACACATGTCAGGTTATGAGGGGAAAAGTGAGCTCATTGTTCCATTTGCCACTTATCTGTACGGAAGTGGAACCAGCTAGGCTGGGGCAGGTGTTTGTAATTTTGGTACCCTCCAGGAAGTGGGATATCTCCCTCCGATTTTAAGTGTAGCACTGCTTCTAATACAAATTTGATGTGTGAGGCTGCAGTTTTCATAACATGTCTGTGTGCTTTTTGGAAGGAGGAGCCATGTGTGCTTTAATATTCTGCCATGTAACTGATTTTTATAAAGTCATTGTTTTCAAAAAGTTTTGAATCAGCAAAAAATTCCTCCTGTTGGCAGACAATTTAGAAGATCCTGCTTTGAAAATTGGACACTTTTTTTTCTAAAAGCACTCTCACATATGCATGTGGACACACACACTCATTCATATATATATATGTGTATGTATATGTGTGTGTGTGTATATATATATATAATATATTCAGTCAATTCCCTTTGCAGTATATTCGGTGAAGTGCTTTGAGACGTCCAGAAGACGTGAAAAGCGCTGTATCAAATGCAAGGATTATTATTATTATATTCACATAAGTGATTACTCCATTTCACGAGTTCAAATATTCACCAATTTAATCACATGTGGGCCCATCCTCTCTCATCCTGACAGCTCAGCTCAATCTTGGTGTCTCCAGATTATTAATGCCCCAGTCTCTCCAGCCCGCTCCTCTTTGGTCTTCTGACCTTCTTGTCCAATGCCTTGATTTATTCTTTCCTTAAATACATTATTTTACACGTTTCGAGACACTGTGGTCCTTCAGATGTATTTTAGGGATAATGCAATGCAAAGCCAGCTAATGGATATATAGCAAGCCCTGTGTATTCACACTCCAACTGTCCTCTTGTCCACTTCTCCACAGTGGGCTCTGATGTGAAATTGAAGAAATGCCAGGGAAAAAAGTGTCTGTGTTCATGCACATGAGGTTGTCAGGAACACAGTTTACCCATAGAGAAATGCTGTGAATCAGCACCATGAGGTGTTTATTTCAGAAATTGGCTAGAGACAAAGTGTGAGTTAGTCAGAGGTAGAAAAAGAGAATATCAAAGTGAGAGAGAAAGGGACAGAGTCAATGAGCCAGAGAGAGAAAGCTGGGGGAAGGAAACAAAGTGAAATACAAAAACATAGAGAGACAAATAGCAAAAGAATGTTTGTGTGTGTATGTGTGTCTGTGTGAGAGAGATAATGTGAAAGGCTGTCACAGTATCCTATATTAAAACTGTAAATTTTGGTGAAACCAATTTGTAATTTGCTTGATTACCTGTTATCTACATTGCTTCCATATCTACATGAAGCCTCGTCCCAATTACTGTAGTCACTAGAAAAAAAATCCTGTTTTTAATTTTTTTTGCCTACTAATTACCAATGTTTACTCTGACCTCTCGTAAGAATTCCTCCCTCTGACTCCCTTTCTTTCTTTCTTTCTTTCTCCCTGGGTAGGATGAAAATATGATTAATTTTCTTAAAGGAGGAATCAAAATTCGTACAAGTTACAACATATACAAGTAGGTATTTTTCTGATGCTCGAGCTCTGTATGAAATGTACCTTTTGTGAAAATGACTGTCACATTTTCTTGCAGTTCCTTGAATCAATCTGGCACCATACAGCAGTTGTGGGTGAATGATTATTTTTAAAAAGGGAGAGGTAGGCGAAGGTGCAATGAACTGGACACATGTGTGAACTAGACATCTCCAACTATTAGTCTGGCCGGGCAACAATTGCATACGAGTTCTCATTGTTCATATAAATCTATGTGCCACTTCTATTCCAGACTTTAAGATGCTTGTGGGAAGGAAATGTGTTTTTAAAAGTTCTTCTGAAGCTTTAAAAGCTTTTAATGTTTTTAATGTGTAAGCGCTCCGAGTTGCTACCCAGAGTGAAGAGCACGATATAAATGCAAGTTGTTTTGTCCAAACGGACAGATATGATTACTTTATACACAGTAGAATATATCAACTCACAGGAGAGTAAGATGGCTATCTATTTGCAAATGATTACGCGCCCCCCCCACCGCGGACAAGTTGCAACCATTGAGAAGTCGTGTAGTGTATTGGTTAGAGCGCTTGCCTTGCAAGCGAAAGGTTGCCACATTTCGCCCACAAAATATACAGTTAATTCACTTTACAGTATAGTCTGTGATGACACCTCTGTCAATGCACTGTCAATAACGCTGAGTACTGCACTAGAGTGTCAAGATAGAGTGTGAGCTCAAAAGTCCTTAAATGTTGACACCCTTGTACTTGGGAGTTGAAGGTAAGTTTTTCTGTAAGTTTTTTTTAAAACAAAAAAGCCTTATTGATACTAATATTCAATTTATTATTATCGGGAGGACGGGAATGTCCTCCCAACGTGAAAGGTACTATACATTTGTAATTTTGTTGTTGTATTATTAAGAGAATGCCAGCAGATTGTGGAGATGACACACAACCATGTCAAAACTGATGTCTACTCCCAGTTTGAAGGAGGTGTAAAGTTGGGGATTGGAGCATTTAACCTTGTAAGGCATGCACCACATTACATTGGAGTTTTCCATTTTTGTAGTTCGTTACTTCAGGCTGTTTTGCCCAACTAATTTAAAATATGTTTTTCCCTCTCAGATGTTGTCTCTGCTACCTTCAAGAATCCTTCGACTTCTTGAATTTATTGGCTTCTCTGGCAATCGGGTATGAGTTATTCAACTTAGATGTTTTAGATTCATCATGAGCTGTCCTTGAAGTAATTCCTGTGTCTTATAACTCTTGTGTCTGCTTTTCAGGTAAAATAATAATAGCATTGTGGAGGTTACTTACTGTACAACATCACCTACTGGTCAGATTGGGCACTGCAGCTCAAATCTTTAACATTTAGGCAGTGAAAATTGGAACTTGTTGGATGTCAAAAGACCAAGCAGAGACTATCCTCCGGGGGTGGTGGGGGGTGGGTGGAGGGGGATTAGCGAGGTCTTCTTGAAGCTGAACTGGCTTGTCAATGGAATATCAGAATTGAGTCAACCTTCTGTGGTGATCTCAGTTTGTTTCCTCAGCCAGGCAGGTCGGCAGTATTCCAGAGCACTGTTGATGACAGCACAGCCTAACTCATCAGCTGGACTTGGAGGGGCAAACCAGTCACTGAGGACAGAGATTCTTCCAACTCAACTCATGTTTACCCTGCAAACCAAACCCCTTACTGTAGGGTGGTCCTAGCTGGACAAGCAGTGGGATAGCTCAATGGCAATCGATACAGTTTAAGCTGGTGAAACTCCAGCAGGACTTCAATACACACTGGGGGACCCCAGGGGCACCACTGGAGTCTAACCAGCTAAAACTGGATAGCATACCATGGCAAGATTCCCACTGCTTGTCCAGTTAGGATCACTCTCTACCTGTTAGGGTTTAAGCTTAAAGGGCGGTACATACATGTACATTGTTGTTGTTGTTTTCATTGGGTGGGAACTCTGCTCCAGAAATAATTTGCATTGGAGCTGAATTCCTGCAAATCAGCATGGTATTCCACCTGTTCCTAAGAGTTCCATTTGGCAACTTGGATAATTCATCATTAAGGAATCTCGATAAGAAATATTGCAATTTAGACTCTAATATGGGCCTGTGAGACATTTATAGTTAGTAGGGGCTCCTGCCTTCAATAAGGGACAGGCTTGAAAAACAAAATCCTGTGGAATGTCTCAAACCTTTTTGAGGCTAAGGTTGGAATTCTGTTGTGATTCCCAGAGGCTTGCCCTTTGTAGCCGCTTATCATGAGCTGCCACTGCTAATGGCATTAATGATGTGGATTTATGTGCACATGTTCTGTTGTATTACAGGGGCTACTTTTTTGGGATGCCTTCTTTCCTTCTTTGCCTTTCTGACATAGTTATGCAATCACCATCATCGCCACAACATTATTCCTGTAAATGGAAAAAAAATGTAAGAACACGAAAAAAAAACCTAGAAGAAATGCAAAATAATGGGAATGAAGCAAAATAGGGAAACAATTCCACCTTCTAGGCCAATATCACAAATGCTGACAGCTCAATCTGGCTGATTGCTCAGCATCGCTCTCTGGGGATAAACCTTGAAATGTCATTCATTCCAGCAGTTTCCATGCCAACAAGTCATCACCAAAATATCCAGAACTGTGCAAGTAACTCTTCATGCCCTACAAAACCATTTACATTTTTTCTGTTTTACATTTTTTTTAAGAAAATGCTTAAAATAATGATCAGGTAATGACTCCTATCGCTGCCCATGGAGAATATTTATGTTCCACATTTACTACTCTCCAAACCTATGGTATTAGCAGAAAAGGAAGATATCTGGGGTAGTGTCTCGGGAGTACTGAACAGTGCTTTAGTTTGACACTGAGCTGAGGATAAAGGGATGGGAATCACGTAATGTTCCACATTTACCCCTCCCAAACCAGTAACATGCTCACAACTTAATTGTTTGCATTGTTTTCAGTCTCATTTACTTATGTCTGATGCAGTTTGAGACCTCCCTATGCTATGTCTATTGTAATTATTATCTGTTTATTCAGTTGTCTATTTCATGTACCACTGTTGTGTGCTGCAGGAGATGGGTTTGTCCATGCTGCGGGAAGGTGCCTCCGTCCATAGTTTAAGAGCCGTATTGTGTGTCTTGACACTTCTGATGTACCAAACTTACATCACTGTAGTCCTTGGTAAGATACAACTTTTTATCTCTCTTAATTTTTTATTTTACACTGAAATGTTATTGCATATTTGATATTGTGCAAAGTCAAAGTTTATCTCCAAACATACGGGTCTCTTTTGTTCACATCATTGAATTGCAATAAATTTGGTTGAGAAACGCTGAGGCTGTGCTCTTCGCTGCAAAATAACAAAACAAATAATTGTTTTTAAGATTCCTCAGTATTTGCATTTATCAGCACCCCCCATGCAGGGCAGCATCCTGGATCATACAGTCATGAAGCTCCCAGATTATAATCTCAATCTATGATGAGTTAACTGATGACAGACAGGGCAGTAGTTGGGGTTATACTATTATATTGACCATTCCTTGTGTTAGGGAAAGGAAAATGAGTCAGGGTTTCTGCTCCTGATCTCTGACCAGAGACCCAATTGGAAGGTTCATGTGAGTTGGGTGAGGGCAGGATCAGGTAAGATAATTCCCCTCTTCTCAAAAACTCCTCAAATTCCCCGGGTTCTCCCTCAGAATCACTGAACCTGTGCCTCAGACTCCCTCAGTCCCTCCACTTTGCCCCCTCCATCCCTCCTCACCTTAAAATCCCACCTAAAGAGCTTCCTTTTTGATCGTGTTTACAGTCATCTCCCTCCTCCCTCTCCCCCTGCTCGGCGTCAGACTCCACCACTGTCAAGTGCTCTGGGACGCTACCCCACGTGTAAGGCACTATATAAATGCAAATTGGTGGTGTTGTAGGTTCTAAGATAAAGATCAGGTCATTTTGTAACTCCTCTGGCTTTTTTATAAATCATCATTTTGATCACTTTTGTACCTTATGAAGGAAAACCATCGAATGGTTCGATTTTTCTGATCTCTTCAATTTCTTGACAGGTTCAGGCGAAGGCAATCTCGTAGAAGCCGAAGCACTCATTGAGCCTTACATCGAGAAATACCCCAACGTATGTTTCTTTTTATTCTTGACTACCTTAAACTGACCCTTCAGTCGCAATGACAAAACAGTAAATTGTGGAATCTTTTGAGGATGGAAGCCCAGGTATATCATTTATTAGTGTGAATGAAGTCAACCTGATAACATAGTGAGGTGTCCCAATTAAGGCCCAAAACATTCAACTGGAGAAAGTTAGAGTTCATCCAGGACTTGGTGTCTGATAGGTAATCAGTTAGAAAAGCATTGACCCTGGAATTAATTGAATTGGTATTGGAATTGGAATTGAGGGTAGAAGTGGAGGTCTATCTGTCAGTTGCATTCATGTGGAAATGAACCCAACACCTGTGAATGATGTCACCAAGATGAAAATAAGGAGAGGACTGAAGATGGAGTCCTGGGAAACTCCACAAATGACATGTGGGGCAGGAGAAGCCATTGGAAAAGATGAGTAATGATGCTGAGGTAGCCAAGAGTAAAATCAGGACAGGCCATGACTGTGGGGGCTAAGCAGGCAGGAGAAGTTGTGGAGAAGGATGGAATGGTTGATGGTGTCCAAAGTTGCAGAGAAGTTCAGGTGAATAAGGAGGCAAAGAGAGTTCGACATAGAATTACACGGCACAGAAACATTCAGCCCAACTCAACTGTCCTTGTGTATGTATTCCACACAAGCCCCCACCCTTCCTTTTCCACTCTCCTGTACCCCTGGTGGCAAATGGGAAATTCTTAAATGCAGCTTTCACTTATGTTAAGAATTATCGAAAAAAGATTTCAGAGTTAAAATGGAATTCACCAATTTGCTAAATAATGCATTCTCTGAAATACTAGATAAATAGAATAAATCTAAGCCCAGGTGGAACTTCTCCCACGACATTGAATCTTGAAAAATAACAACACTAGATTACATTTGTATAGCACCTTTCACGTCGGGAGGACGTCCCAAGGCGCTGGACAGTGTACAGCATTTCAGACCTGAACTGGGGTAGGGGAGGGAAAGGGGGTGGCTGATGGCATGGTCGAAGAGGAGGGTTTTGAGGCGGGACTTGATGGAGGCCAAGGAGGGGGCGAGGCGGAGTGATTGGGGGATGGAATTACAGAGGTTGGGGGCAGAGTAGCTGAAGGCTCTCCCAACAATGGTGGGGCGGGTGGGTCGGGTGGGTCAGGGACATGGAGCAAGCCAGAGCCGGCTGAGCGGAGGGAGCGGTCGGGTTGGTAGGGGGTTAGGATGTCGCAGAGGTAGGGTGGGGCGAGGCCATGGAGGGCTTTGTAGGTGAGGACCAGGATCTTGAACTAGATCCTATGAAGAATAGAGAGCCAATGGAGTCAGGGGAGAATGGGGGAGATGGGGTGACAGAGTTTGGTGTGGGAGAGGATACAGGCTGAGGCGCTGGTGTGAGCCAATCAGGAGGGCCTCAGTCTTGTTCACATTCAACTGTAGGAAATTTGCCCTCATCCAGGACTTGATGTCCGACAGGGAGTCTGTCAGGACAGCATTGGTCCTGGAGTTGAGGATGGAGGCAGAAAGATAGAGTTGGGTGTCATCTGCATACATGTGGAAGTTGACCCCATGTCTGCGGATGATGTTACGAAGGGGGAGCATATAGATATTAAAGAGGAAAGGGCCAAGGACAGAGCACTGGGGGATACCAGACGTGACAGTGCGGGGGCTGGAGGAGAAGCTGTTGGAGGCAACAAAGTGGACACGGTGAGAGAGATGGGAATCGAACCAGGCAAGGGCAGATCCGTGAAGATTGAGTAAAGCGGAGAGGCGGTTTATGAGGAAGGAATGGTAGACAGTGTCGAAGGCGGCAGAGAGATCGAGGAGGACAAGGAGGCAGAGGGAGCCCTGATCACAGATGTTCAGTATGTCATTAGTGACTTTGACCAGGGATGTTTCCGTGCTGTGGGCAGTACGAAAGCCGGATTGAAGGGGTTCAAAGCGGGAATGGCGAGAGAGAAAGCAGCGGAGCTGGGACCCGATAACTCGTTCCAGGACCTTGGAGAGGAATGGGAGGTTAGAGATGGGGTGGTAGCTGGAGAGTAGGGATGGATCCAGGGAAGGTTTTTTCAGGATGGGGGTGATGACGGCTGTTTTTAGGGCGGTGGAACTGAACCGGTGGAGAAGGAGAAGTTGATGACGTCGGACAGGAGAGGGGCCAGAAGGTGGAGCTGGGAGATGAGGAGAGAGGTGGAGATGGGATCGAGGGAGCAGGTGGTGGGTTTGAGTTTGCCGACAGTTGTGGTGAGGTTGGAGGGAGAGATAGGATCGAAGGAGTATAGGGGGGGATGGATAGGGGGTGGGTTTTGAGGGAGAGGTGATGTGGGGGTGGCTGTGGATGGGGCTGAGGTGGCTGAACGTATCCCCTCGATTTTGGTTTCGAGGAAGTCCAACATCACCTCACAGTTGGAGTTTGAGGAGAGGATGGGCAAGGTATGGGAAGGTGGACGGAGGAGACGGTTTGTGGTGGAAAGAGAAGCCTGGGGTTGTCCTTTGCCTCCAAGATAACCTTGGAGCAGAAGGAGTATTTGGCAGAGGCAAGAGCACAGCAGTAGATCTTGGTGTGTTGAAGCCAAATCTGCCGATGGACTGTTAGTTTGGAATTTGGTCCAGGTGTGTTCGGCAGCTCGCACTTGTGCCTTGAGGGAATGGAGATGGCTGGTATACCAGGGGGATTTACAGGAGTATGAGGCAGTTTGGGAGGTGGGTGGGGCAAGGGAGTCCAGAATGGAGGAGAGAGAGTCGTTGAGAAAGGAGAGTGAGGAGGGGAGATCGGTCAGTGAGGGCCAGAGTTGCAGGAGTTCAGATGACTCCAGGGCAGTGGAGAGGGAGAGGGAGGAACATTTTTTTCATGGACGGTATGTGATGGTGGAGGGTTGAGAAAGGAGAAAGGGTACGGAGATGTTGAGGGAGATGAAGTAGTGGTCCGAGATGGATTTATCTATGATGGTGATGTCCGAGAAGGTGAGGCCCTGGGTGATCACCAGTTCAAGGGGATGGCCACGGTCGTGGGTGGGGAAGTGGATGAGGAGGGAGAGGTTAAGGGAAGAGAGGAGGGAGGAGAAGTCGGCAGAGGTAGAGCAGGAGGGGGTGAAGTGGAGGTTGAAGTCGCCTAAGATTAGGAGACATTCAGAGCAGAGGGAGAGGGAAGATAGGAGGGTGGAGATGTCGAACGGAAGGTGGGGGAAGGCTTTGGGGGACGGTAAACATGGAGGATTTTGAGGGAAAGCCTGGAGAGGTGGTAGAAGGTAAGGTGTTCAAAGAAGGGGAAGGTTCCGGAGGAGTAAGGGGAAAGGCCAAGGGGGGAACGGGAGATGAGAGCCACACCACCGCCACGGCGATTAGGCCGTGGGGTTTGGTGAAAGGTGTAACCTGGAGTTGTGGCCTCAACTAGTGGGAAGGTGTCGCCTGGAATGACCCAGGTTTCGGTAAGGGCGAGGATGTCGATATGTTCCTTGACGGTGAGGTCATGGATTGTGAGGGACTTGTTGGTTAGTGAGTGGACGATCTGCAGACTGATGCGCAGGGGACAGTTAGTGGTGGGACTGTGGGGGAGATGGTGGGGGGGGGTGGGCAGACGGGTTGGATAGGGATGTGAGTGAGGGAGGAAAGGTTGGTTGCCCTGGGTGTGGGCCGGTGAGCCTTGCAGCGAGAATGGAGGAAGGGGCAGTCAGGGTGGGCGCTCTAGGACAGATGGCGGCATCTATCATGGTGGGCACGACGGAGAATGTGAAGGGAGGAGCAGAGGGAGGCCGTGGGGGAGTTGAGGAGGGATAGGAGTCGGGGTAGGCGGAGGGAGAGGAGGGTTGATCAGGAGCAGTGGAGGGAAGGGGACGGAGTCGGGAACACCTTGGGGAAACAGCTCGGGTCAATTACGGCAGCCAATGTGTGCACGCTGAGACTCGGAGCAGACAGGAGTGTTCAGCGAGCCATGGTTAGCCCGCTGGGCTGGGTTGGTGAAGCTCAGTGAGGAGATGGGGGCTGTGATGTCTTCCCAGTGAGTCCTGGCCTCGAGATTCAAATAGGGCGGGTGGGATGAAGTCATGTGGCAGTCGGTTACTGATTGGCTGAGCCCTCAGAAGGGGGGGGGGGGAGAGATTTTTGGGTAGTAATCATTGCCAAATGTATTGGACACATTTTTGCACCCTAATGTTAATAATGTTCAATGGAATGTGTGACTTTGTATTAAATATTAATTGTGAACTTTCTGCTCCTTTTTAGGGTTCACTTATATTGTTTTATACAGCTCGGATAAGAATACTCAAGGGACAGTTTGAGAGCGTAAGTTTTATGTATTCCATCTGCAATAAAGTGCTTTATTTGCAAGTAATATCTGTGGCAAGAGTGAATTACTTTACCAACTTTAATACGAGTTATTCAGCTAAACGAGAGTCTTCCACCACTTTATTAGATAATGACCCAATTTTAATAGCGTAACGTTGCCTTTTCTCCATATCCTTTGATACCCTCCTTTCCAAATGTCTAAATATCTCCCTTTTAAACATTTTAATTGAGTCTGCATCTTCAGAATTCCAATTGATTCTGTATTCTCCATTCTCACCAACCGTATGTATGAAGAAATATTTCTACTCTTGACTTGAAACAGGGTTTTTAAAAATCATATCCCCTTGCTTTGGCTCTCGACCAAAGGAGTGAACCCTGATGATCTGCATTTATGATGGGAAGAATCACATTATAGGTGCACATTATCATAATTGCTGGACTTGGGGTCCTTGTAATATTCCTTAAAGAAGTACTTTTTCTCTCAATTTTTTCTCTCCCCTGAAGGTGTTTTGGACTTTTGTCCTTTAAAGTTCAGCGTGCACTGTTCACTATCCGGTTTCTCACTCAGTATTCACATGTGACTCTTGGTCATGAGTGCTGCAGGCTGTTTGACTGCACAAACCGTTAGGGCTGAGCCACATCCTGTCCTCGCCTGATGTCCGCATTCAACATATGTTCCAACAAAGTCTATTGATAGCGATCATTACTCTGGGTAATTATCCTCTCCATAACTCAGGGGCTCTGAGGCCAATTATATTGCTTGTTTGCAGCTCCAGCTGAAATTAGCTTGCTGAACACAAATCTGTACCTTCCAGTTTGGGCCCAGTGTTGTGTTAGGGTTGCTAATATCTGCCATCAGGAAAGCTAAATTAAAAGCTTTGATACTTCTTTGTTCTTCTGTGCATCTGTGCTCAATTCATGCTCAACTACTATACAGTTTAGATACAATAATTACCATGGATAAATTTCATTCATTCATATATATGTTATATATATTAATCTTTCCCTGGAATATAGGCTCAACAGAAATTTGAGGAATGCATTGCAGCACAGCAGGAGTGGAGGCAGATTCATCATCTCTGTTACTGGGAGCTGATGTGGAGTTACATCTTTCAGCAGAATTGGCTGAAGGCATATCAGTATGCAGACCTGCTTTGCAAGGAAAGCCGGTGGTCACAAGTGAGTAAATTGAATTACGTATCATGAACAGTACAGAAATGAAAGCAACCACAACAGATCCTATTTACTCAATTGATGATTTTTTAATTGTACAGAACATTAATGTCATTAATATTTGTTTGAGAATCCCACTATTTTTTATTTGATTGTCAAATCATCCCTAGGCATAGCTATTTACAATGGAAATGTATCCATGGTAATTATTTGTACCTAAACATGTAATCCATGTTTGGATTAGAGCTATTTAAGTACACATGCAAGTTTGAGGATTCATTGTTAACTCTCGTTAAACCTATTGAAAAAACCCTCCCTTGATGCGTCGCAGCTATCAACCTCCATCTCCGACCTCCCCTTTCTGTCCAAGGTTCTCGGAAGAGTCATCGCCTCCCAGCTGCGCTCTTTCCTCTCCACCCACTCACTTTTCGAACCCCTCCAGTCGGGATTCCGTGCTGCCCATAGCACGGAAACCGCCCTGGTCAACGTCACTAATGACATCTTGACCATCTGCGACCAGGGCTCCCTCTGCCTCCTCGTCCTCCTTGACCTATCAGCCGCATTCGATACGGTCGACCACTCTATCCTCCTCCACCGCATGTCCTCCCACCTCAACCTTCAAAGCCTTGTCCTTGAGTGGTTTAGGTCCTACCTCTCCCACCGTCTTCATTTTGTCTCTGCAAACAGCTTTTCCTCCAACCCCCACATAGCTATTTACTCCACATGTCTTGTGCGGTGTCCCTCAGGGCTCTGTCCTCGGTCCCCTCCTCTTCACCCTCTATACGCTGCCTCTTGGTGACATCATCCGCAAACATGGGGTTAACTTCCACATGTATGCGGATGACACCCAACTCTACTTTTCCTCTTCTACCCTCAACTCCACGACCACCAATGTCCTGACAGCTGCCTGTCTGACATCGAGTCCTGGATGAGAGACAACTTTCTTCAGCTCAACGGGTGCAAAACTGAGGCCCTCCTGATTGGCTCACGTCAGCGCCTCCGCACCTCAGGCGCTGACAGCATCAGCATCCAAGGCTGCACTCTCCATCTCTCAAAGCCATCAGGAACCTCGGGGTTCTGTTCGACCCTGAGCTGTCCTTTCTTCCCCACATCCGCACCACAACTGGCACCGCCTTCAACCACCTCCGGAACATCGCCAGACTACGGCACTACCTCACCCCTCACGCTGCTGAAACACTGGTCCTTTATCACCTCAAGGCTGGACTACGGGAACTCTCTCCTCATCGGCCTTCCCGGCACCTCCCTCCACAAGCTGCAGGTCATTCAGAACTCTGCAGCTCATGTACTGTCCCGCACCAGGCTTTGGGACCACATCACTCCCACCCTCGCTCGCCTCCACTGACTCCCCATCCCCCAGAGGATCGAATTCAAGATCCTCATCCTCACATACAAGGCCATTCACGGCCTTGCTCCCTCCTACCTCTCCGATCTACTATCCCCCTACTTACCTGCCCGTACCCTCTGTTCCTCTGGCTCCGGTCTGCTCCACATCCCCCGCCTCAACCGCCCTACCATCGGTGGCCGGACCTTCAGCCTCTCAGCCCCTAGGCTCTGGAAATCCATCCCCCAGTGCCTTCGCTTTGCTTCCTCCCTTTCCTCCTTCAAGGCCGGTCTCAAGACCTTTCTCTTCAACCGTGCCTTCAGTTCCCCTCTCGACTCTCTACCTCCTCCTCACTCCCTCCCTTCCCTCCCCTCACCCTGACCATTTCCCCAACCCAACTGTCCAGCGCCTTGGGACATCCTCCCGACGTGAAAGGCGCTCTATAAATCAATCTTGTTGTTGTTGTTGTTGTAGATCCTTCTGTTCCGACTTGGATCAGTAATCTATCCACTTTTTTTCAGGTACTTTTACTCAGAATATGTTCACTATGTTACAGTTTCATAAATTAATTCCAGCTTGCAATGAGTTGTTTTTTTTAAGTGTCACTTAGAGCAAAGATTCCTTTTCTTGTTCCAATTCCTTATCCTTCCTTATTCTTGCTGAAGTGCAGAAACAAGTCACATCTGTTCTGTTACAAAGCACGACAACTCTCAGTTGGCCCAGGATCACACATTGCTGAATAAAATAATAACTCCTACGTGGATAGTTTTTGTTTAATAATTGGATGTTAGAAAAGCACACGTTGTATCTCTTTCTAAAAATCAAGTCTTGGCACCAGAACTCGTGTTTTTAAACAAAGCTGGTAGATGTACAGATTTCCTGCAGTCCCTCTGTCCCACCCCCTCCCTTGCCTCCTTCAAGACCCCATCTCAAGACCCTCCTTCCCCCCGTGCCATCCACCTTCCCTGATTCTAGAAGACGTGAAAAGCGCTATATCAAATACAAGGATTATTAGTATCATTATTACTCGTGAAGTACTGCAATGTCCTGTGGATGAGATATTGAACTGAGGTCCCATCTGCCTGTTCAGTTGGATGTTGAAGATCCCATGGTACTATTTGAAAAAAGAAGGGAGTTTCTCCCAGGGTCCTGGCTAACAATCCCACTAATAAAATAGATCATTCATTTCAAGGCTGTTCGTGGGACATCACTGTGCAAACTGGATGCTGCGTTCGTCTATAAAAGTTGCTACATATTTGTCAAATTCTGTGAAGCACTTTGAGATGTTCAATGACCTAATAAGACACTATAGCAAATGCAAAGATTAGTATACATCAGTCCTCAGTGGGTGCCAGAATATATTAATTTTTCGAGAGATATCAAGAGAGTAATTTTCAGGGGTATGAAAGGATTACTCTTTCAAAAGGTTAGCACTGACATGATAGACCAAATGGCCACTTTCTGTGCTGTAAATTTCTGTGGTTCTATGGAAAGTGTAGGCAGTAAACATATGACTGAATATTTTGTCCTTTACTTTGTAAGTTGTTGATTATCATAAAAATAGCTCTATGAAATGGCCCTGAAATAAATTTGTTGATTTGAATGATGTAATATGACCATGTCCAATGAGAAGAAATTTTGACCGAGGAGAACAATAGCCCAACACAGTTCATTCGAACAGAGGCATCCTTTTCTGTTTTGAAACATTTGATGCAAGTCCATTTTTAGTTATGGGATTTAAATAAAATGAATCAATGTGACTGTCACAGTTCTGAGTACAGGAAGTTGGTTATTTGAAGGAGACAATGAAGCTTATTCTCCCACTGTCTCTGGTAATCTAAAACCGTCTCACAATTAAGAGTGTGACAGATGAGTGTAGTTGGGTAATGTGCCATACTCCTACGTTTGTGATTGCCAAGCTTGGAAACATTCTTAAATCACCAGCTGGAAAAACGCAATTATCTATTGATGTGAAGTAGAATGCTGTTGATGAAACGATTTATTGGCATTCGTTGCAGGCGATCTACGTGTTCCAGAAAGCTGCCATTCTCAGCATGCTCCCTGAGGAGGATGTGAAGAGGATGGGAGAGGATGTGGAAGCAATCTTCAGGTCAGTTGCGCAAGTGCTTGGGTAGCATTCTCGTCTCTGGATCATATGTTTATGGGTTCAGGCCCCATACCTGCACTTTGAGCTCCAGGCTGACACTTCAGTTTAGTACTGGGGAAGCTCTGCGTTGTCAGAGTTACAATCTTCCAGGGGAGATTAAACCATATGCTTGTCCTTCAGGTGAATGTTAAAGATCTCATGGCACTATTTGAAAAAAGGGAGTTTCTCCTGGTGTCCTGGCCAACAATTCCCAGATAAATAAGTCATGAATTACATGTGAAGCACTTTTAGACTTTCCAACATAGATGACTGGTGCTATATCAAATCAAAATTTATTTTTGTTATTGTTAGACACCAGAAAAGGTGCCTTGTCTCCTGCAGGAAATATCACAACAATCCACAAGACCTTGGTTATGAGGTGATCTTGCATGGGGTTCCTTTGCAGGAGATAGAATTTGCACTTTGAGACTTTCTGAATCTGACCCAATTTTTCTCTGAACATTGTCTTTCAATCAATCATGGTGGCAAAAATGGCACATTACTCTCCAAACATAAACATGGTGGAAAAATGTTGGCCAGATATTTATGCAGCAAGACAGCTCTTTAAGTTTTGGTTCTTTTTTAAATTTGGGGATAACTGGATTTCAAATTTTTCGTTTGCAGACGAGTTGAAGGTTTGAAGCAACGATTTGCTGGCAAGTCGATACCCACAGAGAAGTTTGCAGTGAGAAAAGCCAGGCGGTACAATTCTCCAAACCCTGTGAAACTTGTCCTGCCATCACTGGTGAGAAATTGGCTTTCTTTTAATGTGCCTCTTTCCAGAGCAGAACAGAGTTAGTTTTCTCAGCGTAAAATGCTTAGAGAGGACTTCACAGAGAGTTGGTGGGCCAGCAATGATAATCTGGAGTTCAGCCTGTTGGCCTGGTTCAGTTAGGTGCACTCTTGTCTGTCTCTGAGTCAGTAGGTTGTGGATCCAAGCCCCATATTGAGATTTTGAATAATTTGGCTGACAATCTATTCCATTGGTGAGGGAACACTGCATTGCGCTACATCAAATGCAAGGATTATTATTATTGTTGGAGGTGCTGTTTGGATGAGACTTTAAACTGAGTTGTATCTATCTGTTCAGATGGGCATTAAAGATCCCATGGCACTATTTGAAAATAGACATGAGTGTGCCTGGTCAACAAATCCCAGATGAAATCGATGATTCAATTCATGGATGTTTATGGGATAAATGTTTTTAATATCCATTGGCTGTTAATCTTATTTCAGCAAAGTAGTTCCATAAAAGTTTCCTTTGATATTTGGGGGATATTTTAAACCAGAATATGCAGACTACTAAATTAAAAACAATCCTAGAATATATAAATTGGGACCGTGTGTTTAATTGCTGGATAGAAGGCCATTCTAGACGGCTTTTAGCTATTTATTTCTATGTGACAAGAAAATTCCAAGCAAAGTCTGTTGAGTTAGTAATTCCCAAATCCTTTTGCAAATAGTATTTTTACCTGCAAACCAGCTCTCTGGATTAAAGGGTTGTGTAAATGGCAAATTGTGGCAAGCTATCAATACCTTGTAAAGACTCTGAAATGTGCACTGTTTGGCTTCAGTTTTCTATCACTTGAATTTAACATAACACTTCTAATGCTGGCATGGCTTGAATAGATGGAATGATTGCATATCATCAGATTTGGATATAACCAGACATCTGCTGCATGAATCACTGCTTACTGGAAGTGGGGGAGGGGGGGAACGTGGGTCTTAGCAAGACTGTGGTTTTGTTGGGATTATTTGTTTGCACATATCTTCATTTCAAACACATGCTTCAAATAACTTAGCTGGAAATAGATACCTTCAAAATATTGGTATCAAAAACTTGCTCCAGTTTTGCCACTGCTACACTGTGATTGGCAAAAAGCACCTGGAACAAAACTATTCTCAAGGCAAACCTCTATACAGCACACAATATTGAGACTTTAATTCAGATCTAATGTCTCTTTGTAATGGGGTGGGAGGAAAGAGCAAGGGAATGGAATTATAGCAGGAGCATCTAGCAAAGGCACAAGGAATTATCTGGTCTGGGATGAGCCAGAGATAATGGGAACTGGTTGAATATTTTATGTCTTTAGGAGCGTTTCATGGCAATAACCTTTGATTTAATGTCATACTACAAATAGACTAGTCCAAAACTGCTACTGTTTATGCAGGATATTGTTGTTAAAAACAGTAACTTTCTTTTTGAGAATGATCCTTCAAGATGTTATGTTGGTTATTAAACTAATTTTCGCTTTGACTTATTCCTTTTATCAGGAAATGATGTACGTCTGGAATGGCTTTGCAATCCTGGGTAAACATGCAGAATTGACAGAGAGGATGCTGATTACAATAGAGCAAGCAGAAGCCAAATTGAACAAAGTGCAAAGTGAGTACAGTCAAACAGTCAAACATCAGGCCAAAGTAGGACGTAACAAAAATCTGGAAGATGAAGTAAAACTTTATAATGTTTTATGAAGGAAGCAGTCCTGGTAGTATAGTGGTTAGAGCTACAGCTTATGGACCAGCAGCTTGCTGGTTTGAATCCCAGTCCATGCTGAGTTTGTTAGACTTCGCCTGGTTGTTTGGGGAGGCTAAATTGGCACCGGCCTTCTTTGGGTCAGGGAGGAGAAAACCAACCAGGATTCCTGCTCCTGGCACCTCTTCAGCACCCATTTTTCACTGATTGTTCATGTGGGGGGTATGAGGGTGGGGAGAGGTCAGACTTGGTTGCAATACCCTCCACAGTTGAATGGTAAGCTGACATTTACCGTCAAGACTCACACATGAACAATGGTCACTTTGGCAGGGTATCAACAACAACCACCACAAAATTGCATTTTCCACATCCCAAAGCGCTGGACGGACAAAGTTACGGACCCAAGCTAGGGGTTGGGTTGGGAGAGGGTGGAGGGCAGGGGGGGAAGCAGGGAGATCGAAAGCACGGATCAGAGGGCAACCAGCACATGTGGAATGGAACTGTACCCCAGCAAGAGGAGGCTTGTCTGTTTCTTTTCTCTCCCCCCTGAGTGTCTTAATGTTAGTGATGGTCTGGTACATCATCACAATCTGGTCTGTGTTGAGGTTGCTGATCTCAGTCAGGCCAGAAATTGTGGAGAAGGAAGGAAGACAATCAGCCAGAAGTTCACACTCCTGACCCTGTCTAGAGATACCTACTGAATAATAATAATCCTTGCATTTGATGTAGTGATTTTCACGTCTTTGAGAAGTCTCAAAGTGCATGACAAAATATACTGTAAAGTGAATTGACTATATTTTGTGGAGTCTTGTAGCTCAGTGGTTAGAGCACTCGCCTTGCAAGTGAGACACCTGCGTTCAATTCCAGGCAGGGTGAAACCTTGGACAAGTTTCCTTACTCCACGCCTAATAATAATCCCTCCAAAAAACGAAACAATAATAAATTGGTCATTTTCAATCCACGACTGTTTGTGGGACACTGCTGTGCGCACTTGCCTGCCGCATTTCGCCCACAAATATGCAGTCAAGTCACTTTACAGCATATTCTGTGAAGTGCTTTGAGACGTCGAGAATACGTGAAAAGCGCTATATCAAATGCAAGATTATTATTATTATTAAACGTTGAAGGAGAACATTGGAGGACAGAATAGTGCTGAGCTGTGATCTCCTGTCTCCTTTGCATCTTTCCTGCATCACCAAGTGGCACTGTCTGTTTGCCAACCTCCCCTGTTAGGACAGGAGAAAATTCTTATCAATGTAAAGGAGAAATTTACAAATAATAGGGTGAATACTTGCAAGAAAAATTGGATACAAACATATTAAATGGACTCAAATTAAGAAATTGGGGTAAAAGAGAAGGGACAGAGTGACTGTGGAACTATACCTTAGCTAGACCTCACACCTACAAGAAACAAGTGGAGAACAAAATAGAAAATTAAGAATGGCCCCAAAAAACATTTACCGATCCATAAGGGGCTAAACTGTGATAGTCATAACAGGAGTTGGTGTTAATAACCGGACTCGTGTGAACTCTCTCCTCGAGTAGATTATATTGGAGCGAAGTTCCTGGTTCCTATTTGCAGCTCTGAGTTGATCTGAGTGACTTTTGTTACAAATATTCTGTTTTAGGCTTCAAAATGTCTCCGCACGTTAATTAATGAACAATCAATTGGCTTATTTTAAATTAACAAAAAACCTAAAATCTAAATCAAGTTAAAATTGGGAACCCTGATAGAATTAATGGCAGTCTATTGTTAGTAGAAAATAGTTCCGTTGGTACTTCGAAAAACAGAGAATTATTTGAGGAACCCATTTCAGGGAAAGAGTTCTGTAGCTCAGTGGTTAGAACTCTTGCCTTGCAAGAGAAAGACCTGGGTTTGACTCCCGGCAGGGCAAAACCTTGGGCAAGTTTCCTTACTCCACACGCCTGATAATAATCCCTCAAAAAAAAAATTGGTCACTTCAATCTATGAATGGTTGTGGGACACTGCTGTGCGAAATTGGCTGCCGGTTTCGCCCACAAATATACAGTCAATTCACTTTACAGTATATTCTGTGAAGTGCAATGAGACATCTAGAAGACGTGAAAAGCGCTATATCAAATGCAAGGATTATTATTATTATAAGATTCGCTTTGAAAAAAATCTCATGAACTGGAATTGATTTGCCTGCAAAAAAAATTTCCCAAACCTTTTTTTCGAAGCAAATAACCAAAGTTGTGGAGCATTCATGCTGACTGATGTATTGGTAACACTATGTGTCAAATGTCCCTTTGTTTTTCTGAAGACCCTACCGAATACCAAGTCGATGATGAGTGTCTTGTGCAACTTCTGAAAGGGTTATGTCTGAAGTACTTACATCGTCCTTTACAAGCCGAACTCTGCTTCAATCGGGTTGTACAAAGGTATGCTGGGTTGTAGTGAAGCACTGACACCTTGCACTGAGCCAAACTGTAGCTCTTGATTGTTGAATCCAGCTGACACGTAATACACTGTAAAGCTAACTAATATCATTCCCATGTCATACTCACATGGCATTTATGCCCGTTTCATAGAAAATGTGGATGAATTATGCTATCAACAGTGCTCATAGGCTAGGCATTTGGAATTAAGTTCCGTGGAATTTGTTTTTGCTGGAGAAAAGCCTGAGAAAGACATAATACAACTTTTCATTCACCATTTTATATTAAATGGCTCAAAGCATTCCTTTCACAGTAACTTTTGTTACTTTTTCATAATCTTTCCGGACTCTTGCTGTGCATATAAAAGAGTGCCTGCATGTAGATGAAAAGACCATTTAGATTTAATTGTTTTACACAGTGGATATTGAACTTGTGGAACCATTTGCTGTGAAACAGGGAGGAAAGAGAGACAGATAGCGTAGGCAGTTCTTTGAGGAATCGGATAGGTTTATTATGGTGAATGAGATTAGGGATACATGAGAATCAGTATTTTGAAACATTCCTATATTTTTCCACATTCCTATGTTGTAATGTATGTTTTATGTTTAAAAATATAGGCACTGGTAAAGTCCAGATCTTGTTTTATTATATATTTACGGCTCTGATTATATGATTTTATAACTTTTCTTTATTTGTAGTGAGAGGAGGATAAGATATGATCACTATTTGGTACCATTTACTCTTTATGAGATGGGATTGTTGTACAAGCAGGAAGGAGACTGGAACAAAGCCAGAAGGTTCATTGAGACGGCAAGGTAAGTTCTTTGGCAAAACGGCAAACTTGTACCAATATTGATGGTGGTTGTGGGTTCAAGCCCCGTGTTGGGACTCTGAACTCAGTCTAGGTTGACTCTCCAGTACAGTGCTGGGGATTTGCTGCATTGTTGGAGATATCGTCGTTTGGATGAGATGTTAAACCGAGGCCCCGTCTGTCTGTCCAAGTGAATGTTAAGATCCCATGGTACTATTTAAAAACTGAAGGGAGTTTCTCCCAGTGTTCTGGCCAACAATGCCCCAGAAAAATGTTGGTCACTCGCTTCATCGGTGCTTGTGGGACGTTGCTGTGTGCCATTTGGCTGCCTGTGATTGGAAAATGATGAACACTTGTATCAGCTGTAACTGTGTAAACAACAGACTAAACAAAATAATCCTCTGCATTCTATTCCACTAGGAATTTGCATATGAGTTGAAAACCCAAACTGTGTTAATATGCTAAGAGATGTACAGAAACCTGTTGTATGTTGTCTATTACTGAAGGCATCTTTGCTCTTGTGTTTTATTTCCCCCCACTGTAGGAATAACTACAAGGACTATTCAATGGAATCTAGATTACATTTTAGGATCCATGCTGCAATGAATAGCCTAAGCAACAGCCCAATCATGACACCTTGATCATCCCTCTCGAGCAATTCCTGAGAGTATCAGCAATAAACAAATACCTGCGTACGGGTAAGAGTGATACACAGATCATGGATGGAAGAGTGCAAAATAAGGCTGATCTAAAATGCTGTGTTATTAGTTTCTGAATGTAATCATGTGTCTCCTCCAATTTGCTGTCTTACATGTTAAGCAGGTGTTTTCTATTGTACTGTAAGTGTTTAATTTAGTTTGTTCCTCAATACAAATAAAAAACTGAGAATTGTTCTTTATGAGATAGAAATATTTATAGGATATTTGTTTTTACTTGAAAGGCAGACATTCATGGACAGTTGCTGGTTCAATAAATTTATTTACCAATAGGGGTAATTTATTTTAATGTAGTTTTTGTGTTTAAAGATTCTGAATGAAGCAGGAGGAAAAAAACCTCATCATTAGTTATTACAAATCCTGTGGAAACATATCGTTAATTTGGCGAACACAAAATTATGTAAGTGTTTTCATCACTGGACCTGGAGGATTAATCACCAGAAGAACTCAAAACCTTTATTGGAATTGTTACGTTGCTGGTAGCTATGAGCTTGTAATTGTGAGTTTCATTGTGCAGGACAACTTGTGCCTCGTTAAGTTTACTGAAATGTGAGTTTCCTGAAGCCGGCTGGTCTGTGTCAGAAGTGACATCAGGGTTACCTGATGACCTAGAAATGGGATTGACTGCCTTGCTTTCTTTAAAGCTGGCCCAATTTTCTGGATCTGAAACAATGCATTATACTTTGTGTGTACGTGATCGTGTCTTGCCTTTTTAAATGTGTACAGATGGGGCCATTCTCTTACATACAAACTGCTGTTAACTTTTTCTGTATGATTCTCGTCTATAGTGGCCAGTGGTTTCTTACTTCAAAAAAATTCTAGACGTATTGTTGAAACTAAATCAGACTGTACTATGTTTACGGATAGCTTTAAATATGATCTTTTCGTAGTGTCCATTATGGGACTAAATGTTACACTAGGCAAAGAATGTTACCAGGCCTAAAAGGGTTAAGTTACGAGGAAAGGCTGCGTAAACCTGGATTGTATTCCCCTGAGTTTAGAAGATTGAAGCGTGATTTGATTGAGATGTTTAAGATGATGAAGGGATATGATAGGGTAGATACAGAGAAGCTATTTACTCTGGTGGGGGAATCCAAAACAAGGGGCATGAGAAAGAAGTGCATCAGCTAACTGTGCACATTTTAGTGGAACCACCTAACGTGCTTTCCTATAGAACAGGTTGGGATTTTATGGACCCAAGCACTGCATTATAAAGAGGTTCCATGATGACCCACATAGGATCACTGTATTGCCAAAGAAATACATGTTATAAAGAAACTGCACTATTGGTTAAAGCTAGAATGAAAGAAGCTAGGATGTGGCAAACAATTATGCTTATTTGTTCTGTATAACTCTCTTAACCTGAACATGTAAGTACTGCAAAGGAAATTGAAATCATACTTGAGATATTTCATACTGAAATCCAGAAGAAAACAATGTACGTGGACATTAGTATGTGACCTCCTCAAATGGTGTGGCTAGGGTTCAGGCTGTCTCTGTCAACAACCCTCTTCTATTCCCTGTTACTGTAGCTCAGGTAAAGACTTATTTCATTGAGATGTTGATCTATACTCAGTACTCTATTATTTAAAACCCACCCTCGAGGTCGAAATTGCGTAATAAATGCTAATGATGTAAATTAAGATGTCTGCCATAATTTGGGGAATAAAGCAAAAACAATGTATTAATTTTACATTCATAATTCCTGTGCATGAATATATGTCTATATATATATTATATATGCTACTTATGAACAGTGTAGAATATATATTGAGTTACTGGTAACTCCACAAAAGTTGGAAAAAATATATCCGTGCAAGAAATATGAAAGTGTAGACCAAAGAAAAACTGAGGACACAACCAGGTGTGAAAAATAATTATATTAAAAAAATAAATAAAATATCCACAATATTTACATGTCTAACAGTGTGCCTTCTATCAGTGATCTATGCTGTATGTGTTGTGTTCTAAAGATGAGCCAGACAACCACCTGGATTGTAACACTTACTTCTAAAATCATCAGCCCCCCACCCCCCCCTCATGCTGTGTAATCCATGTTTCTTTATATCCTCCCTTTCCGAGATGGTTTCCCTGAGCAATATCCCCCTTTCTTTTCAAAATAACTGTTGTCTTTGTATCCAATATCTTACCTATCCCTCCCCCCCACCCCCCACCACCCCAAGAAAGAAAAGCACAAAAACAAAACCAGCAATGTACTTTTACTTTTCTTCAATTAGTCAGGCATTTTCATGACCCTCGGCCCCATTTGAAACTCTTGTGTTTATTCTCCCGATGTACTTGATCTTTTCTCTATGGCTTTTGGGACTGTTACTTCCTCTCTTGAAACCTTGATATCCCTTACGTTGCAAATATGGGTTGCCTTGCTTGCTCATTGACAATCACATATGACCTTGGTATCATCTATTTGTCCTTCATTGTATCTTTTGCCTTTGTTCTTCTAAAGTGTACTTCCCCACTCTCTAATGGGTCTAGATTCTTTGCGATTGCACCCACAAAATACACAGTCAATTCACTTTACAGAATATTCTGTGAAGCGCTTTGAGATGTCTCAACAACATGATAAGGTGCTATATTAAATGCAAGGATTATTATTATATATTCTGTAACATCAGTTAGCCTACTTATTTTTTCTCATTTCCCCATGCACAGATCAGTCAGACTGCTAGCCATTGGTAAAATACTTCATAACCACTTTAGAAATGTATCTATGTTGGAGATTCCTTGGGATACTCGAACATTGCAAAGGATGAGTCTGTCCCATCCTTCCTCACTTTCTTCATCACCTCTTTTACTGTCTGAATTACCCAACAACAACAACTTAGATTTATATAGCGCCCTCCATGCCGGACAGTGTCTCAGAGCGCTTCACAGTAACGGATCCCTGGAACTGTTCTAACCGTTCTATAAACACACTGTTTTAGGATAACTCGGAGTTGATGCTCTTATTGGAAGGTTAACTGCAGTTAATTATCTGCAAGTATAGCACTTAAACACTAAATAGTGTTTTTATAAGGAAAAAGAGAAACCAATAAAGGTGTTCCTAAATATGATAAGAAAATTATACTTTCCTGCCCAAGGTAAACACCCATTTGTGTGCAGTATATCTCTAGAATAGCAGTACACCTGTAGAAAGGTATTTTTTTTTAGCCAGTGTATTAACAGTGTAGCTAAAGTATATTACAATCGTAAGGCAATGTCGTATTTATTTTGAAATGCAAAGATGATCAGAGAGGTTTGGATGAAGAAGCCCAAACTATATTTTCTTCTGCCAATTGAAACCCCTTCATGTTGTACGTACATACAATTTCTTGTTCCAATACACATTACTTTGCACTTATCTACATTGAAATCCACCCACCACACTTTTGGCCCATCTGCTTTATTTGTTTTCTTGCATGCTGGTTGTATTCCTCAGCTTGGTATCATCAGTCGAGTTATTTTTGTGCATGAATGACAATCAACTAAACTGATAAATGAAGTGATCTATCAATCATGTTACAACTCAGATAAACAGGGGGTGCCAGAAAGTATATAGATGGATTTGGAACTGTTGGTCAACACGCACTATACAACTAGAGAAGGAACGAGTGGTGTGCTTTGCAATGTGGTCCCTTATGCAATAAATTAATAGCTCGAGTGCCCAGCCATCGGTTTCAAACATTTTAAGTCATCCTTCTGAAGTGAAAGATGCTATATAAATGTAAATTGTATTGTATGTATGGCAAACCCACAGTGCTTGCTAGTGATGTAGTATTTCAAAGAGTTACTGTGTCTGTAAGAATTTCTCCTAATTTATTTGATGGGAGTACAGGATGTTTTCTAGGTGAACTATTCCCTATGTATTACCATTCTGTCCTTGTGGGAAGGGCTTTCAAGTGGTAGGTTTCCAATTGTACTTAAGACGTGATCAGTTTATCAATCAGCCTTTGCGATCTCTGCAGGTAGGCCATCAAGGATTGATGTGATCAATGTCTGTTGAGAATGTCAGTCACTCTTGAGAAACATTCACCAATACCAATACATTTCAACCTAGAAGTTGTTGTTCATATAGCATTCTGAGGTGAGGTATGTCTGAGCTGCTTCTTGCAGGCAGCCTACTGGGGCGATCTGAAAGGTAACTAGGGCAGATGTTTTACCATCCCTTGAAGGATGGTGTTTAGTGCCTGCTTTCATGCATTGTGAGTCCAGTTGGATGAGAAGATGGTGAAAATAGTAATTGGTCTGGAGGAGAGAGGAAATTAAGTTCACTTACAACAGAGATCACAGTGTGGGTTTGAGCTGTGAATCTGACGTGAAATAGTGTGTCTGACTGTAATGATGGAAGTTGTTGTTGAGTTTATGTGCTATTGATATGTAGAGACCAAGCAGGTTTCAGGTTCAATCCCTCTTAAGTACTGATATAGTCTTGCCTTCAAAACAAGTTCTAACTATTCCACTCTATCTATTTCACAGAGGCCCTTGCAGCCTCCGTGACCAAGTCCATCTGGCTATGGATTTTTCAGGTCACTGATATAATACACAAAACATTTTTGAGCCCTAAAAATAACATCATGTAGATTTAGAAATAGTCTGAAAACTTAGCAAGTGTTTAGGTTCCATAAGTTTTATGGAAGGTTAATGGGACTATAACCTGGGTAGGTCAGTTGTGAGATTTTTAGTCAGATGTTTCATTTCTGTATCAATGGTAGCTGGCTGTCATATCCACCATATTTTGATTTGCTGGTTATATACCTGTCAGCTGGATCCATCTCCATGGTCCATACAATGCAAAGTTGTGAAATACATTAGCTCAATCGTTCAGACTCGGGAAGGTCCAAGGTGCAATCTCCAGTTTATGCTGATACACCTGCACCTTGGGACGTCCTCCCGATGTGAAAGGCACTATACAAATGTAATCTTGTTGTTGTTGATTTAGCTAATCTCAACAGTGTCAGACGTTGGGGGCACTGCAAGAGATCTTAGTATCCTTGGTTAAAGAAGGGCACATCATCCATTGATTCTTCCTGTACAATATCATTATGTAGAGATGCATTTTTCTTCTAAAATAAGTTGCCCTTTTATCTCTAATATACTCATGAGAATATACAATATGATTATCGTAACTATACTATTTTTCGAGTGACATGAAGACCTATATTTTTCTTGATCTTTATCCTCCTATACAACATATTCATAGCTTATACTTTGGCATGTATTTTTTCAAAGTACTCTAAATGTGCTATTGTGGCTAGTAGTATATGTGTACTACTGTGTGATATACCTAGTATATATAGATATAAGGCAAATCAAATTGGATGGAGTTACATATTTTTAATTATTGAATTTCCAGTTTCAACCTTAGCATGCATTTAGTATCAACACTGATGTAACTACTAGTATTAAATTATATTTTATTAGTTATCTGATATATTCAAATATGTGCTGTGTAATCTTTGGTCACTACAGATTGTAATACCAGAACAAGAATTACACTTTATTTAAAAAACATAAACGGTTCCATACAAAGTTCGGTTCTATTTTTTATAATACCCTGCTTAAAAAATTCAGAGAATCAATTGTGGTGATAGGAACCAAAAGCAAATTGTGTTTGTATTTGAAAGCTGTGATATACTCTTGGTGACCCAAAAACAATTTTAATCCATTAGTTTATCATGTACTGTAGCTGAATGCACTGGAGGCAGCAGTCAGTTATAATTCAAGTTCAATAGACTATTAGATGGTATATTTTTACTGCCATTTAGTACAGGTGTGGTGGTCATCCTGTAACCGAATGAAAACTTTACCAATTTCTGTATGATACTTGTGGTTTAATTTTTGGTCCTGTTCAATGCCTTAGAATCATCTTGCATTTATTTAATGATTGATGGATCTCATTTGCTCTGATTTGCTGTTATGTGATCCACTGCTTCTCATTATACTTTACGATGTCCAGTCAACCTTTGTTCTCCAGAATCCCCTTCCCCCCACACTTCCTTTCTACTTCTTACTTCACAAAGGAATAGACTGTCAGGGTTTAAACCCTGCATCCTTGAACTCTTGAGGAGTAGACACACCAATTTCTGTAACAGGGGGCCACGATTAAACTTGACGTTTAATCTATATTTAATCTTAAAACTATATGGTTGTGTCCACTCGGTACTGTTGTTTATTTCAACTCAGGAACTGTGGTTGCACCCGGTAACAGTATCGGGCATTCTCAGATCAGATATAGAATGGTCAACAGCATCGCAAACTCTTTTTACTCTTCTCCAACAATAGGTATAATTTAGAGATGCATTCAATAGTAACACCAAATAGGGTTTTGCTAAACAAATTAGTCACTATCCATGGGCTAGAAATTCATTCCTGTGGACCTGACTTCATAATTTAATAATAATGTAATAAAAGTTTGGATTTTACCCCAAAAATAAACAGTCAATTCACTTTACAGTATATTCTGTGATGTGCACTGAGACTTCCCAATGTCACGCTAAGGTGCTATATGAAATGCAAATATCTCTGATACATTCTAATGAATATCGAATCTACCACTGAATTCATCCTTACATGTTTTAACTTCAAGTACGAAAAAACACCTCCTAATGCACCAGTGTGACATTTCCAGCCTCCACACCAGCCTTATAGCTTTTTGGTTGAGTTTGGTAAATTGTGCCAAACATTCTGCTATGGTCTTGCACTTTCTGGGAATTGAGTGAGACTTCCTGAAGCCAGGACAGCTTGAGCTGGATTCAGGTCTCGGAGGTGAAAGTTCTGTGTATAAAACCATTATGCTACTCAATCCTTTTGTCTCCTTGTCATTGATTTGGGCATAGAAGGTACATATTTGGATGTGTGGAACTTACTGTGTGCTTCCATGAAGGGCATGTAATGGAGAGGGAAAAAAGTTAATACTAACTTGAAAAACTCCGCCCAAGTTTCTCATGACACCAAGAGAGATTAGAACATAAGAATTAGGAGCAGGAGTAGACCATTCGGCCCCACTGGCCTGCCCCGCCATTCAATAAGATCATGGCTGATCTATTCTAACTCCACCTACCTGCCTTATCCACCATATCCCTTAATCCCTTTATCCGCAAGAAATCTATCAATCCATAAATCTATTACAGTTTTGAAGTATGAATTAAACGTTGCGTTGTGTGTTCATTAGCAGAGGAGGAAAAGTAAACTTAACTCTCAAGGGACTGCATCCCTTCAAACAACGGTTATCTACATTGAGTACTATGGATAGATTTTAGGACCAAAGCAAATTTAAACTTCAGTTTGTTCCATGAGCACTAAGATTTACCACTGATTCAATCAAGATTTATCAAATCACTTAACCTATAACAGTGAAGATTAGAAACACAAGTCTACGGATTGTATTGCAATTCCAAAGTAATCTCGCCAGTTTATTGCAGTTAAATGGAGAATATCGCACAGGTCCAGACCTGAGCGTGCAATAACATGTCACTGAGTCATCATTGCGTTGCTATGGTCTGAGGTTTTAGTTATTATAAATAATAATCCTTGTTTGTGATATTGAACCTAAAACATCAAAGCAATCCAAGGTACTTCACAGGTAATTACAGAAAAGTGTAGTAACTGTTTTTGTGTTCAATCCCTTTTTTCACCAAAACCTATGTGGTGTTGAATTGTCCCAAATAAAAATGGTTAACTTCATGGCTGTTTGTGGGACATTGTACAAATTTGCTGTCATGTTCACCTACAAAATACAGTCAATGCACTTTACAGTAAATCCTGTGCAGCATTAGGAGATGTCCTCCTGACATGAAAGGCATTATATCAACTGCAAGTATTTGATTATAATTTAATTGACTGTGTTCTTGGAACAGACTTAAGTCACAATTTTATATTGCTAAAATCCTCCCTTGGAATTCACTGTAAGTTATCAAGGCATCCTGAACAGACAGGAACAGACGTCTCGAAGATGTGAAGCTATATCAAATGCAAGGATTCTTATTATTTTCAGACCTGCTTTGAGGGTACTCTTAAGATAGAATAGATTCTCATTCCCATGGCAACACTTACCCAAGTATTAAATTCTGAAGATCGTAAAACCATGAGAAGTTTTAGAACAGCTGCACAATTCTAATAATAATCCTTGCTTTGATATAATTTGATATAGTGCCTTATCACGTCTTCGAGACAGATCATGCGACAAAATGCTGAGCTGTTGCCCTGCCTGTAGGTCGTAGGTTGACTCAGGTATCCGATTCAAAACAGACAGCTGCTCTTCCTCCCCAAACTACTTTAGGATTCAGGCACTATTGAATCCAAACAGTTACTGCTTGTAATTCAAGAAGTTCCTTTGTAATCATTTTGAACACAAAAAAAAGCTTCAATAACAAAATAATGTTTTTACCAACACAACTTTTGTTTTGTGTCGTTAATGTTTTCTGTGAATATAATTATTTGCATTGGAAGATCAAACACAGCTGGGGTCCTTTCCAGATTTGGGAGGCTAATAGGAAAGTCACTTGGTGTATGCAACTTGTTGATAATAGAACTATTTAGTTTTCGTCAATAGACGGTCCTATGAGGAATTGGTTCTTAATTGAGGAGGACTCTTGTAATTCCCCCTTATATGGAAATGCAAGGATTATTATTATTATTAAATAACTTGCATTTTTAGACTTTATTTTCCTGTTGAAACATTGCACTTACCTGTGAAGTAATTATTTTGTTGCAGGCCAATACAGCAGCCTTTTGTGGCAGCAAGATTTCATGATATCCATGAGCTATGTACACCAGGGTTTACACTTCATTTGCTCTTGGCACGCAATGTCCAAATTCAAGTAACTGGTCTAAAATGCAATTGATGTTGTATTGGTGTTCTTACGTTTCAACAGAATGCACTGTACCATTGTTTTTGCTATGAATGTATATCCTAAATAATGATTTTGTTGAATCTAGTATTTTTTTTGTGAAGGGCACATAATAAATTGGTTGTGTACTATCACTGAGACTCCACTTTTTATTGCAATGCAGTTGCTGTCTGATGTACAATGAGAAGGGTATGGGAAGGAGTTTGGAATGGGTGGAGATTCATGGAGCATAAACACATGACAAGGACTAGTTGGGCCGAGTGGCCTATTTCCCTGCTGTAAATCTTTGGGAACATATCAGACATTCCAGAAGTCGCACAATTGTAGAATTCAGAGACAGAGTCGCTGACCAACAAGAACAGCAACAACTTGCATTTGTATAGCACCTTCAAGTGGGTACCATCTCAGTACATGCTGAAAGCAACAGGGTTAATGTCTTTAGTAATTCTATTCATAGAATTGTATGGAGTGGTACAGCACACAAACGGGCCAATCTGCCCAATTAGTTCATGTCTGTGTTTATACTCCTATTCCCTGCTCCAAAACACTTCTATTCCCTTCTCCCTCATGCATTATCAAGTTTCCTGTTAAATATGTTGATGCTTATTGCTTTAACCATAGCTTCCTCTGGTGAGTTCCACATTCGCAGCACTCACTGCCCTCACCGTCCTCTGTCATGTTGGATTGATGTTTACACTGTGGAGTTGTTGGTTTATGGAGGGTAGAATAGAGTTTTTGTCTTGATCTCAATGAAATGTATTTCAGTGCTTCCACTTTATTCTGATTTACAGCTGAAAGCATATGGTGAAAATATCCATTGTGGTGAATGAAACAATTTTGATGAAAAATGTTTTGTCTTTCAAAAAAGTTTAAATAAGTTCTTTTTATCGATCATCTTTGTTTACAGTAAATCCTGTGAAATGCTTTGAGACGTCCTTCTGACGTGAAAGGCGCTAAACCAAGCGTAAGGATTATTCTTTATTATTACTCGTAAATTCCAGCAGATTTGAATTGTTGCATAAACATGCTCTGGTTCAATGGAAACATGCAGGATTATAAATCAAATTAAATTTTTTTTCATCAGGAGAAGGAAGGAATAGGAATATAATTTTGTAAGGGATTAGAAGAAGACAGCATAAACACAGACATGGTTGGCCCAATGCTCTGCTTCTGTGCTGTAATCTTTCTAGCATTTTGTGGGCTAGAAATTATTAAAAAAAATATGATCACTTAATCCCTGATTGTTTGTGGGACACTGCTGTGCGCAATTGGCTGTTGCGTTTTACCCATAAAATATACAGTGAATTCACTTTACAGTATATTCTGTGAAGCTCTTTGAGACGTCTTGAAGACGTGATCAGGCGCTATGTCAAATGCAAGGATTATTTTTATTTTATAATTCATTTTACATTGTTTTATTAGAAAGTTGAATACATAAGCCCAAACAAACATCCCAAGGGACATTTAAGTTATTGTGAATTAGCACACTCTTTATTTATTTTCTGTAACCTAATACAGTAATATAGAATGTCAATTGTGTAACTATATAACTATAAGGATGTAGTAGACCTGAAGTATACATTTGATGGCTCCACTGACTGAAGATAAAATAACAATTATTTCTAATTCTTCTGATGAATATTTAGTTTTAGTTTTACATTTATCTTCAGTGAGGCAGCGTGGGTTTGCATTTAGCTATGTAGAATGCAACTGTTCCAGTGATGGATATGGCAGTGTTTAAAACCAGTCTAAATAAATAATCAAATTGTAATTTGAGATCAATGCTGGCTGTGAAACAATACACAGCCAGCACCAGATTCGCAGGGGCAGATTCACGGAGGCAACTATTCTAATACAAACATGACATGGTTATGATTTCTGGTTCCCATTCTGCATACATGCTGATATCAATTCACAAGATCAATTCACAATTCACTTCTTCAGGTGAAGAAGGCCCTTCAGCCCATCTGATCTCATCCTTCCAGAATAACCATCCTACCATTGTCCAATCACATCATCAAGTTGTTTTTTAAAATGAGTCCATCACATTTAACTATTTTACCTATGGTCCCAAAAGCTGTTATGTAAATAGTGGTGTGCTGACAAGTACTTTGTAATGCATACATAATCTACTGGAAGATTCAATTGTTCTATTGTCTTCATTTCCAGCATTTCCAAAAGCTGGTTCAGGTACTGCAATATAATTAGTTATTCTAGGTACATAATGCACTTATTACTGGAAGTGTCTTATTTGCAGACACAGCTCTCAATGCTCATCTTTTTCAGACTTTCAATGGAAACATCTCCAGACTCTGCGATGTAGATCATATTGACTGAAGAATATGTTTGTGGGACACAACGGGGTCTGAGAGGAAACAAATGGCAGAAATTAACACATTAAACAGCAACAGCTTGCATTCATATTGCACCTTTCATGCAAGCAGCACCTCATAGAACTCAACGGTGGTATGGTTTGCGTTAAGCTAGAAAGAGAGGTGACCGAAGCCACAGTCAAAGAAGTTTTCAGGTGTGATTTGAAGACTATCAAAGAGGGGGCAAGATAGAAGGATTGAGTCAGGGGGTTCCATAGATTCGGAGCTGAAAGCACGGCTGCTAATAGTGGAGGGGACAAGGACCGTGCAGAAGATGGGAGACAGCTGAACAAAGGCAGGCGATTTGATGGAGGTGGCAAGAGTCCTGGTCTGGGACTGGATGTAGGATAAGAAGGCAAACTGATGCCAAGATTGCAAACAAGTTTGGTTAGTCTGAGGGATGCTCAGGGAAGGTTAGGGGGTCAGAACTCCAAGTAAGAAGAAGTTGACAGGAGCCGAGGAATATAGCTTCTGTCTTTTTTATGTTCAGCTGCGGAAAGGTGGCATTCATTTAAGTGTTGATGTCAGACAAACACACAGGGAATCTTGGGTATGCTGCAGGTGACCCGGTGGGTGCGGGAAGAGAAAATGTTTGCGGAGACAAAGTGATGGCAGTTGGTTAAATAGGACTCGAACCAGGAGAGTGTGGTCCCGTAAGGTGGATGAGGGAGGAGAGGCTATCAAGGAAGATGGCATGTTCCACTGTGTCAACAGCAGCAGAGAGGTCCGGGAGGACAAGGAGGGCAGAGAGAGCCCTTGTCAGAGAGACAGAGGACGTCATTTATAACCTTGATGAGTGATTCCTGAGTGCTGTGAGCAGGGCAGAAACCAGATGGGAGGGGCTCGACAAGGGAGTGGGAGTTAAGGTCTGAGCAATAGGAATAGCGTTTTAGAAGGGAAGAGTAGGTTTGGGATGGGAAGTTTGACACATCAAGGGTAGGTTTTTTGAGAAGATGGGTGATGACAATGGCACAGAGCTGGAGAAGAGGAACAGATTAACTATATCGGTCAATTGGGGGAGAGGAGCGGTAATTGGATGGCCAACAGCTGGGTGGGGAGGAGGTCATTTTTTAAAGAAAAGTTGTTTCTCTAAACAATACAAAAAAGACACGCGAAAGCTATGCTTACATTTGTGATATGGTTGTGTTTTGGCTTTCTGTTTTCCACAAAGGGTTCTGTGCTTCTGTCTTCTCCTGTCCAGATGTTTCGGTGGGGCAGTGACCTCTGGAACAAATGAAAGAGTTCAGATTCCATATCTGGTTGAAACAAAATCACATTGCTCATTGTGGAGCTGAGGGCAACACTAGCCCCGTATGTGAGCCTTTTTTCTGTACTGAATTAACTGATATGAGGAGTGCCAGTGAGGGGGGTACAGTGCTATAGTAATATTGAGTTGTTAAAGTTGTAACTACTGTACTTTGTGTAATGCCAACTCCTGTAAAACAGTGGGCTAGAAATCTATCCACCCGATTTGACTTTCTTCCTCCAATAGTTAAATGTTTTAAAAAATTGTGGAAAAACATAAATATTAAAGTATTTTTTATACCATGCTATAAATAACAGCATTTCTTCCTACATGGTTTAATTCTCACCTGCAGATATTAGCATAGTAACCGTGTGGCTCCAGGATCCGATGCTGTAACTCAGGGCCCTGTAGATTCACATACCACTGGTGCAGGCTGCATTCTCCAGGAGTGGTCCCATGTACTAAGCTCTTCCTCTTGCGCACCCTGGAACACTGCTGGCTATCCCTTCTGCTGGGCTGATTCTCGGTCTTGCTGGTTCCGGATAATGGGATTCGATAGGCAATGAGTAACGGTTCATTCGGGGAGCTGGTGTTCAGACAGTACAGGCTCTGAGTCAGAGCATCATGTATAACCAAGCTGCCACTATCATCAGTGAACTGGAATTGGAATCCTACAATGTCCGCCTCCCACTGCTTCAGGATCAGCGATACGTTAAATATGTCGTAGCCGAAGGGAGGAGGTTCATCCAGATTCAAAACTTTCTCATCCAGGGGCTCGCTGATGGTGAGCTTGTTTAGTTCGGTACCAATGCTGTGTATCGTCACGTTGACTGTCAAGGACTCCCGGTGGAGAGTTCGTCTCCGCACGACCAGCTCAGAGGCTGTCATGGATGCTTTGAGGTGGGAAATATTGAACCAGAGCCATCCTGGATTGTCAAATTCAGGAACTATTAAATAAACAGACAAATGATTTGGACATACTCATTTTCTGGTGCACTTTTTAAAGACTATTCCCTTACAATTTTCCCTCCATCACTCTTAAATGCATTGACTTTCTCTAGGTATGTTTTGATGGTCACTGACTGCCTTCTGACCTAACCTAAGTAGCTACTGACCGTGAACTTTGGCAAACTATTCAATCCCATGTCTACGGCTCAGACTGGGAGATTTAATCTACACCTTCTTGTCTGTATGACCCAGTGATGCAGTGGTACCTATTTCAATTGTTGCAAAACGGGGAGTTCTTTTACTATAATACTATAATAATCCACCTCATCATGCCATTGAATCGTCTCAAAGCACTTCACAAGATTTACTGTAAGGAGCAGTGTCTGCCTTTTTGTAGGCATACTTGGCAGGCAATTTGATGTAGCTGTGTCCCATGAACAGCCATAAAGTGATTGACCAATTCTTTATCTGGAAGATTGTTGGTCAGGACACTGAGAGAATCTCCCTTCTCTTTTCGAATCATGCTATGGGAACAAGCAGACACTGTTTAATGTCTCATGAGGTGAGTTTGCTAATTTTTCAGATTTAGATCAAGTGCTTCACAGAATATATTGAAAAGTATAGTGGCTGTATTTTGTGGGCAAAACGCGGCAGCCAATTGTGCGCAATAGTGTCCCAGCCGTGGATTAATTGAACAAATTATTATTACTTATTTAGTTATGAACTTAATGTTCTTTAATAACACAAAAAGGCAGTATTTGAGCTCAGGGGGACATTGCCCATTCACTCATATGCACCCTACCTTCATGCTAATAGTAATTTGCCAATTTTACAGTGAATGGTGAATGGTTGCTGCTTATGACTTATCAATTTAAAAGATCTCAGTGCATGATTCTTCTTCGAGAGCTCTAGGAGCATCCTGAATAAAGTGTCTCATGGTTAGATGAATTGTAAAGTTCCCTATTCTCTGATGCATCAATGTGCATCCCTCCCTCCCCATTCAGACATCTCTAACAAGTGAAATGTTTCCCCTTTTTCAAATCTCAGTACGCAATTTGTGCCTTTATGAATTATGTTATTACGTGGAGTCCTGTAGCTCAGTGGTTAGAGCACTCGCTTTGCAAGCGAGAGACCTGAGTTCAATTCCAGGCAGGGCAAAACCTTGGGCAAGTTTCCTTACTCCACCCCTAATAATAATCCCTCCAAAACCAAAAACAATAATAAATTGGTCATTTTCAATCTACAACTATTTGTGGGACACTGCTGTGCGCAATTGGCTGCCGCGCTCGCCCACAAATATACAGTCACTTCACTTTACAGTGTGTTCTGTGAAACGTTTTGGGACGTCCTCCCGACGTGAAAAGTGCTATATCAAATGCAAGGATTATTATTATGTTGAGACAGAGAGGCGACCATTTATGTTATCATGTTTGCTATCATCTATCAGTCTGGGATAGATTCAACACATGGTCCTGCTACGTGGCATTGAACTTGAAGCTGTCCTGTAAAGGTCCTCCTACCATGCTGAAGGCAGATGTTCATCAGATAGCTGATGAGGAAACTCTGAGTCTGACTTTGCACATCCAGTGCTTGGATTCCATCTAGATTGACTTGCAGAGAGGTAAGCAGATCCTGCTTAAGCTCCACACCTCCAATTGGATAATAGGAAGCAATGAGTATCTGATGAATGTCCGAGCTGTGGACAGGAAGGCAGTGGCAATGCACTTGTGCATTTCATGCTGAGCTGTGTTGCCCACCAGGAAGCTTGCAGGGAGTTCCTGGTACCTGCCATCCATTAATTGAGGAAGTAAACTCACGCATGTCGGATGTCAAATGACCAACTAGTAACTATCCACCTTGGGAGCAAGGTAAGTGGGGTCTCATTGGAGCTGAAAACAAAAACAGAAGTCGCTGGGAACACTCAGCAGGTCAGGCAGCATCTTTGGAGAAAGGAAAGTGAGTCAATGTTTCGGGTCCATGGCCCTTCGTCAGAACAGGAGCATATTGGGAGGGGGAGGCTTTTAAGGGCTAAAAGAGAGGGGGGAGGTCAGGCAAGGAAGACAAAGGAGAAAATGGGGTAGAGGCAGGGGATGATGGGTTAAAGAGGTGTTAATGATGTAAACAAAGAGGGTTATTGCAACAAAGTAGGGGAATAGAGGTGTTAATACTGCAGAACAAAAAAGGGGTTGGGGGGGGAAAGAACTTGCAACAAAAAAGGTAGATCAGGGAGAGAAAATGTGTGTCTGGGACCCAGATAATGTGATAATGGTCACAGAAGAGGGGGAGGGGGAAGGTGAGCTGTTATGGTCTGAAATTGATGAAATCAATATTGAGGCCAGAGGGCTGTAAGGTCCCCAGCAGATAGATGAGGTGCTGTTCCTCGAGCTTGTCCCCTACCTACCTGCCCGTACCCTCCGTTCCTCAGGCTCCGGTCTGCTCCACGTCCCCCGCCCCAATCGCCCTACCATTGGTGGTCGGGCCTTCAGCCTCTCAGCCCCGAGGCTCTGGAACTCCATCCCCCAGTGCCTTCGCCGCTTCCTCCCTCTCCTCCTTCAAGGCCGGTCTCAAAACCTTTCTCTTTGACCGTGCCTTCAGCTCCCCTCTCGACTCTCTTCCCCCTTCTCGCTCCCTCCCATCCCTCCCTCACCCTGACCATTTCCCCCCTCCTCGCTCCCTCCCCTCACCCTGACCATTTCCCCCCTGCTCGGGTCATGACCCAACTGTGCAGCGCCTTGGGACGTCCTCCTGACGTGAAAGGCGCTTTATAAATGGAATCTTGTTGTTGTTGTTGTTGTTGTTGCTTGTGCTGTGGCTCATTGGTACAGCGTAGGAGACCGTGTTTGCTCATTGGAGCTGAACCGGCTCCGAGGTAACATGTTTGGCAATGGAATGTCACGATCAAGTCCACCCTCTGTGGAGGTTTGGATAGTTCCAGTTCCTGAGCCAGGAGGATCAGCAGTATTCCAGGGCACTGTTGATGACAGTATGGCCGGCCTGGCTCATTGGCAGGACTGGGAAGGGCAGACCAACTACTGGGGTCAGGGAGTCATCCCACTCAGCTCTCGTTAACCCTGCAAACCAAAGCCCAAACAGGAAGAGGGATCCTAGCAATTTCAAGACAGATTTCAGGCAGTTTATAATAATAATAATAATCCTTGCATTTGATGTAGCTCCTTATCACGTCACTGAGACGTCTCAAAGTGCTTCACAGAATATATTGAAAAGTGTAGTGACTGTGTATTTTGTGGGCGAAACGCGGCAGCCAATTGTGCACAATAGCGTCCCAGCCGTGGATTAATTGAACAAATTATTATTACTTATTTAGTTATTCTTTTGAAAGTGATCCGCCAATCAATTAACAACTGGATTCTTTCTTATTGCTAGGTAAACATGTGGAGTAAGGGAAGTTGCCTAAGGTTTCGCCCTGCCTGGAAGGATGAGATCATGTGGACCGAAGGCCTCAGATATAAATTTAATAAACTTAAATATATATTTAACTTTATATTTAATAAATATATTTAGTTTTACTTTAATAAATATATATTTATCTTTATATTTAATAAAGATATATTTAACTTTATATTTAATAAAGATATATTTAATTTTATATTTAATAAATATATATTCTAACTTTCTTCATCAAATGTCAATCTAAGTGATCTGAGATGCTACCCCGTGTGAAGGGGGGCTATATAAATGTAAGTTGTTGCTGTTGTTGTCAAGACCAAGGCTCTCCTGATTGACTCCTGTCAGTGCCTTCTCACTTCAGGCATCAACCATAATTGACTTGGTTACTTACTCACTGCTCACTGCTACATGTGGCTCGAACACCTTTGAACCAACCACCATCAAGTAGATATTACATTTGCCATCCTCCTATCTCCAAAGTGTTGTTTAAATATGCTGGTGCCTCAGTTATCAACTCCCTAGTTTTTTTAAGGACCTTGGGTTCTGTCCATCTGGATCTGGTGTTTTATTCTCTATGTTGGTCTAATCTAATTTATGTACAGTAGTACATAAATTAACTGAGGTGATTTGATTCCCAACACCATGTTATTCCTGAAATTTCATTGTCAGTCTCTTTAGTGAAAATTGAGACAGAATATTCATTTAATATTTCAGCCATTTATTTATTATCCCTGTGAGCTTATCCCCTTCACCCCTTAGAGTCATATCCCTACCTTAGCTATTATTTTATGTCTGTAGATTACCTGACTTGTTTCTAATGTTTCTTGATATTTTCTCCTAGTAATTTCTCATTGTCAACAACAACTTGCATTTATATAGTGATCCTCACACAAATCTTGACCCAGAGCGCTTTGAAAACTTAATTGTCTTTGTAACCTCTTTCCTTTTTGGATTCACTTTTGCTTTCTTCTGTATTATCTATTTTGTAACTTCCACACACTATGCAAGTTTTAAGTGAAACATTGGCCAAGTTTCCTTACTCCACATGACTCTTGTTTACCTAGCAGTAAGTAGGAACCCAGTTGTTAGTCGATTGGCGGATCGCTTTTCTGGGGGTAATAATTCCTTTAAAAAAATTGGTCATTCAATCCATGACTGTTTGTGGGACACTGCTGTGTGTAATTGGCTGCCACGTTTCGCCCACAAAATATACAGTCAATTCAACAACAACAACTTGCACTTAAACAGCGCCCTCCACTCAGAGAGCTTAACAGTGGTGGAACCTGACTCCGACCGGGGGGAGAGGGGAGGTGGCCGTAAGCATGGTCGAACAGGAAAGTCTTCAGGCGGGACTTGAAAGAGGAGAGAGAGGAGGCAAGGCAGAGGGATTGAGGGAAGAGTGTTCCAGAGTTAATTCACATTACAGTACATTCTGTGACGTGCTTTGAAATGTCACAAAGGCGTGATAAGGCGCTATATCATAAATGCAAATGCAAGGATCATTATCGAGCCAGTCTTTTACCAGTTACACCAGAATTGCCTTTGGCTAGAATCAATATGACTATTTTGTCTGCTCTGAAATATAAACAAATCTCGTTGCTATTTTCGGTAGGGAAGCTTAAATGTTTCACTGCTGCTTGGTGGCTGAAAATATATTTAACAAGTTGAACTTTGAAATGTACCTCTTATGGTCCTGAAGCTTTGGACCAGTGTCCCCTCGATTGTAGCCGATTCCTTGGCCCCAGAGAAGCTGATTTGCTGGTAGACCAGTTTCATGTAAGGGTGAAGTTTGTTCCGGCGTGGGAATGTCAGAGTGTTGATGTGTAACATCTCTAAGATGGCTTTATTACTCTGTTGCTCGCTGCCTTCACTCTCCGCATGACATGGCTTTAGCTCCGGGAAGCAGGTAAAAAACAAGTATCCAGAAAGAAAGCTGAACAGTCCCAGTGACCCGGCGCTTGCCAACCTCATGTTCGAAACTTCTGGTTGTGTATATCTTTTTCTGTGTGTGTGTGTGTGTGTCTGTGTGCGCAGTTGCCCTGTGACCAGTCATTGTGTGCGCCTTGAGCCTATCAAAACAAGAGAAATAATAAGGAACTTGAGCCAGGAAACTTGCTAATCAATTGCAAATTCTTGAAACATTTGGTAGGTTTTGAAACTCATTAGTGGCAGTTCGGAAAAGACTGCTGGAAAAATGCACTTAACCCTCTCCAGGCCAAGAAGCATATTTGCAGCACACAAGTAAAGAAAGCAGCTGTGAAATTGAAGGTTTTGTGAGAACTTGTTTATGTGACTCGTGGTGAGAGAGTAGCCCATGTACAGAGTTTCTCCCTTTTTTAGGGGGGGTCAGCCAGGTGTTTGACACAAACTGAAACCCATCACCTAAAGCATACCCAAACCAGACTGAGTGTTCCAGATATGTATGCACCTACACATGGAAATTTCTGGAATAAAATGCACATTGCCTCCCTGGAGAGACATATATGCTGCCATGTTTGGTTAAAATACCCAGTCACTATAATAATAGTAATTGCATTTGATATAACACCTTATCACATCTTTGAGACGTCTCAAAACATTTCACAGGTTACACTGTGATGTGAATTGCCTGTATATTTTGTGGGCAAATCACGGCAGCCAATTGCGCACAGCAGTTTCCCATAAACCGTTGTGGATTGAATGACCAAATTATTATCATTTTTTTGAAGGGATTATTACCCCCGTAAAGGCAATCTGTCAATCGACTAATAACTGGGTTCCTATTTACTGCTAGGTAAACAGAGGTGTGTGGAGCAAGGAAACTTGCCCAATGTTTTGCCCTGCCTGGGAATCGAACCCAGGGAACTCTGCCTGCGAGGTGAGTGCTCCAATCATTAAGGCTACAGGACTACACGTAACAGTAACTATTGTAAAGCAAATTGAGGTACTTTGATGTTTGTACACAGTATATCAAATGCAGGATCAATAATGTTATTAATAACTCTGCTAGCTTTCATCTCCTTTGTATGAAATATTCATATGAATTGTACAGCTAAAAATAACTGATTTTGAATTCAATTGGATACTGACCCTGCTGCAGTGAATATTATTTCATATTTTAATCACTATTTTCCCTTTATCCCAGCCCACAGTGGGTAGGTTTTGTTTTCTCCAGTCAGAGGCAGCTGCAACAAGGCTTATGATTTTGACCCTGGTGATTTCTTCCATGATACACAGTCCTCATCTATAAAGTAACAAGCTACACTCTGCAAACTGCATATTTGTCTTCAAATCCTTCTAGGTCTTGCCTCGTTCTCTCTGTAATCTTCTCCAGCCATACATTCCGATCCATCCCTTTCACTCTTCCCACGCTAGTCTACTGTTTGCTACCCATGACCTTTGATTATAATGATCCTTGCATTTGATACAGTGCCTTATGTCACCATCAAGACATCTCAAAGCGCTTCAGAGGATTTGCCATAGTGTGTAGTGACTGGGTAAATATAGGCAAATCCAGGAGCCAATTTATGCACAGCAACGTCCCACAAACAGCTATGAAATGAATGATCAATTTTATCTGGAGGATTGTTGGCCAGATCACCTGGAGAAACTCCTTTCTCTTTTGGAATATGGGATCTTTTGCATCCAATTGAACTATATGGTTTAATATCTCATCTAAACAACAGTCCTGTTCGCCCACAAATATACAGTCAATTCACTTTACAGTGTATTCTGTGAAGCGCTTTGGGACCTCCTCCCGACGTGAAAAGTGCTATATCAAATGCAAGGATTATTATTATTATTATTAACAGCATAGACTGTGAATTCAAACTCGTGACGTGGTGCTTGAACCCACAACCTTCCTACTGAGAGGCGAAAGTCCTACCAACTGAGCCAGACTGACAGCTTGTTTTCCATCGGTGACCAAGTTTTCAGCTTCCCTGACCTTGTCATTTTAAATCTCTTTCCCAAAATCACTTAATCTTTCCGCCTTTCTACTAACTTCAAAAACAAATCCCTGGAACCATGCTGTTGGTCTGGATCTTTAAATCACTGATTTCCCTGCTCTGTGTCACGGCATCACGACATTTGTCAAGAACTTTGAGGCTTTCATTCAAGTGAATATAAATGAAAGTTATTGTACACTGTATAACTAGTCTTAAACAGAAAACACTTTAGGTATTCAACACTTTAAACGTACAATTACATTTGTTATGTGTTTATGGTTCCAATTCAGCTTGTGAATATTACGTAATAAAAACAGTGTCTGATAGCTTCCTTAATATGGAAAATTTACTTAACTGTTCTGTGATGTGGTTCAGTCTATTGCAATAATCCTTTATCCCTGTCTCATTTTTCTTAAGGTTGTGGTTCATAAGCTGTCTTCATATAAAGGTGATTGGAAAAAAAAACTTCCTGACTTGATTAACAGGCCCAGCACCTTCAGGGAAAGCTTTTTTTTTTTTTTGCAACACCAATAACAACTTGTACTTATACAGTGCCCCTCACACATGGTAGGGTCGCGGAGCGCTTAACAGTGGATGAGCTTGATACCGAGCTGAGGAAGGGGAGGTGACTGTAGGCATGGTCAAAGAGGAAGGTCTTCAGGTATGATCTGAAGACAGGGAAGGAGGAGGCAAGACAGGGGCATTGAGGAATGGAATTCCATAATTTCGGGGCATAGTGCCTGAAAGCGCGGCTGTTAATAATGGAGTGAAGGGGACAAAGGGACGTTCAGGAAGCCGGAGCCAGCAGAGCGAAGGAGGCAGGTAGTGGAATGGGGAGTAAACAGATCGGAGATTTAGAGAGGTGCCAGGGCATGAAGTGATTTGTGCACGAGTGTGAGGTCGATCGACCTGAAGTCGATCTGTTCTCTAATAGGGAGCCAGTGGAGCCTAATAAGCCCTGGAATGATGGGGGTATTGAGCTTTGTGTAGGTGAGGATATGAGCGGTGCACTATTGAATTGATTGGATTTTATGAATGGTGGAGCTGGGGCCACCAGCAAGAAGGGCAATAATAACCGTTGCATTTGGTATCGTGCCTTGTCATGTCACGATATCTCAAAGCATTTTACAGAGTAAAACAATGTATTTATAGGCAATCAGCAGCTAATTTGTACCCAGCAGTCTCGCAGACAGCCATGAAATGAAAGGTCATTGTTTTTATCTGGAGTAATGTTGACCAGGGCTCTCGGAGAAACTCCCTTCTCTTTTGAATAGTTCCACAGGATCTTTAAAGTCCACTTGTCACCAGTGATAATTGTGACGTTGGATATTGCATTTTTCACCCTTTGTTATCATTTCATAACTCACTGTCCTCCTGTAAACAAAATATTCTTAAAACTGATACAACAACTACTTGCACTTATATAGTACCCTCCATGCAGGGTAGCATCTTAGAGCGCTGAAAGAATAAAAACTGACGCATTCAACTGAGAATTTTTAATATCTGAATCATAAAGTATCATCAATAATTAACTGAAAAAGGCAATGTTTATAGATAACAGCAGAACAATAACATTTTATATCATTTTTGCAACACCTTAATGTTGTTTAGGATTAGAATTAATATTAATTAGGAGGGGGTGGATGCATATGTAAAGTATAAACACTAGCACAGCCTAGCTGGACTGAATCGCCTATCTCAGTGCTCTACAGTCTATATAGTTCAATGTCATTTTTATTCCTACAGTCGGGCAGTGAAAGAATAAAGACTGATTAAAAAAAGATGCAAACATATTACAATATTCCTTCAGCATATTAATATAACTTGCTGTTAGGATAGGACACTGCTAGATATTTCTCAGAGCAGGCACCACAAACCAACCTCACGTGACTATATAGACTTTGTAGCCTGTCATAGATGAAGTGTATATGGAAAAACCTGATGAAAGTGTGAAATAATTATCCAGAGCAGCACTTGTTTCATTTGGGTATTACTATGTGCTCATGTCTCTGTGCTCTGCCTTTCATCTGGTGACCAGGTGTACAAAGCAGGACATTAGAAAATAGTCTGCTTGGCAGAACTGTGTAAATCATTCATAATTCATACTTTGCTCAAGTACAGCATTGTGACTACAGCTGGAGTTGTAGGCTTGATACTATCCCAAGGTTGAATATTTGAGAACTAGTATAAGGGTATAGTGTTTTTTTTGAACCATAGCAGATATCTACATTCTGTTATTAATAATAATCCTTGTATTTGATATATATTAATTATCATGTTGAATTGTGTCTTCATATCAAGAAGTTTCTTCACAGGATATACTATAAAGTGGAATGACTGAGGTATTTTATGCACAAAAACTGTAAATTGGGCAAGTTTTTTACATATCACCAACGGGTTAACCACACCTACACAGTCATTATATTTTGGAGTAAGATCCTTCAAGGTGCTTTGAAACATTCCGTTGACTTGATAAAGCATTGTGTCAAATGCCAGGATTATTATCAGCTAATTTAGTCCTTGCTGTGTTGATCAATGCATGGATGTTACCAATAACCAATCTAAAAGTCTATCCAAGCACATTTCAAATGGAAATTATAATGTGTTAAATACCCTTAATAACACATAGGGGTGAATTTCCCAGTATTTCTGGATACAATTAAGCCAGATGAGACCAAAATTCTGTAGATTATAGATCGCTCTCTCTGTGTTTTACATTATTATTTTATTAAGGCCGATGCTTTCCTTTTAAAGCTTTGCAAAATTACCTTGCAACCCTCAATTGAGCAGAATAAGAATTGTGTTGTGAGCCTGTCTCAATTGATACCATGTTATCTCTAAATTAGAAGGATTGTGTTGACCTGGCTCAATTGGTAGCACTCTCACCTCTGAGTCAGAAGATTGTGGGTTCAAGACCAACGTCTAGACTTGGAACTCATATAGTCGAATAAAATAACAAATAAGATGTTACAAAAAATGGTCATTCGCTTCATAGTTGTTTGTGGAACATTGCTGTGAGGAAATTATCTGCTGTGTTCACCCACAAAACACAGTGAATGCACTTCACAGTGTATTCTGTGAAGT